GATGTTATAAATATTTATTGCCACGTATGACTTATCATTTATTTCATTTATACTTGATCAGAATGAAAATATTCCCTAAAAATATCAACCTCTAAACCACCTGCTCTAAATATAAGTTTATTTCTCTCAATAATTTTATTTAATTTCTAAAATGTAACATTAATTTATTTTAATTTATTAATAGATGCTTGTGTTTCAAAATTATACGGTTTCCTTATGTTCTGCTGATCAAACAGTAGATACAATTTGCAACTGGAGTCATTTGACTGAGAGTGTTCTATTATAAGGAAACATAGCAAGCGACGCACGATATAGAAAATTGCATGACTGCTATTAAATGTATATTACAGTAGACATGTTCTGGTATTGAGTAACATTGATTGCACTGTCAGTTAATTAACTAGAGTGACTCTAAATCGTTTGGAAAATGTTTCAAAGTTCAATATCCAAGCATTGTTCGATTGGTTTGCATTTGGTCTAAAAGATAGTATAGCACCAAATGTTGAGCTTGTATTGTAGATTTGAGGCTATATCATCCACTGATTTGCCACTGTGAGAGTGTAATTAACCATTGCGCGACACACTGCGATCCTAGGCTATCTCTAGATCGCCAAAGTATTAGAAATATTGTAAAACGTAAGATGCAGAGAGAATCCTTGAATCAGTGCATTAAAAATACTGTTTTGAAAAATCATTGTCTTTCATTGCCATACTTTGTAAACTTTCATTTGTCATTGTTTCAAGACCTTAATATTTCCTTTTCCTATGCTTTTACACTGAACACGCTGTACAATATTTTACACCTAATGAAATTCATGAGATGTAACCACTACTAGTTCGGGGTCACCAATTGTCTAATCTCGTAATATTTCTTCTTTGTCCTTCACTTCAAAGATAAAATAAAAAAAAGTGATTTGTCAGCCTAAAGAAGAATTATAGATAACCACTGCTTAGAAACAGTTCATCTTGGTATAGATGTTCTTACTTATCATGCTTGCAGTTTCCTGAAAGTTAAACCTTTGCTACCAAGGTTAAAAATGTTAATAATGTGTATTATGGAAAACTTATAATTTCTGATGTAAAGTACTTAACATATTCATGGAGATATAAAAATAGTTAATTTGGGCGGTGTGTCATACGTTTACCTACTGTAAGACTCTGACATTATTTAGTATACAATATAGTTTCCTATTAAATAAAACCAAAATTGCTGACTTTTTAAAAACGTTAATAGTTTCGCTAATACTAACAATCGGGGTGGGGCGGGTTCTACTTTGAAAACTAGTGGTGCCAATCAATGTACATCGATGAAGAAAGTAGTAACCAACCAAGCCACTTTCGTACTGACTGTTAATTTCACTGATGGAGTATGAAGGTGAAGTGGGAGGCTGATTAGGTTATGGGGAGCTGCTTGCAGAATAAGGTGATTTTCAACTACTAAAGCATGATCATGATTTTTTTTTTTTGGGGGGTCCCACTGGGGAGCGACTACTTTTTTGTGGGGTATACGTGTCCCCCCTCTCTTAGAGTGGAGTGGAGTTGAGTTGAATAGGTTAGTGGTTAAGATGCTTGCCTTCTAATCTCAGGGTCGTGGGTTCGATTCCTTTGACAGCAGGACTTTTTCTCCCGACTAAAAAACAACTCCACTCCCTTAGCCTCATAAAGAGACATCGCATCACATTATTTTTGTTTATTTAAGAGCGCCCTGAATATCAACCGACTTCCTAGGATATGCTGGAAGGGTCACCCTCTATAAATATGGTTAAAAAAAAAAAAAACTGACATCACTGTAAACATGAATCAAAATCAATAGTAAATTTGCAGTGTACCACATGAATACTGTAGGTCTGGAAAAAAATGGTTGATTTAATATTTAGATTAAAAAATATAAATCACTAAATTATAGTACTAAAGTACATTGATGGCACAGCTATTTTGAAGTGGCTGACTTAAAAATCTGGCTTGATTAATGATGATGCTTCACTATTACAACTGCTGCTCTAATTTCATCCGTTATATCGCACAAATGTTGCTTGATATGCCACGATTTTAACCGAGTAAACCGTGACAGAGAGATTCTACAACTGACAATGTGCTTTTGCGTCATTGTCGATTCCCTCGGATTAATTTTTTGATAAGTACCGACGATGTTGCCTTAGGCAACGATACTCATGTGCTCGTTATTTTGAACTTCGTAAAGTAACAGTGCAAAAGGTATTGATGTTTAATGGTTTGACCTGGATAGTAAACCATGTTATAGAACATTATAGTATCATCATAAAAACTGGTGTATTGTTTAATAATTACGAATTGTCCATCAAAGTTAAAATAATTTTAACAGACATCTCCTTAATGACATCAGTTCTCCGATTGTTTTTTAAGAGCTCGGATTTTAACTTAGTTGCTAAACTGATGTTAGCCATTATGTGTGCAATTAACTGTGGAAGTAATTTCAGATTTTGGTCCCTGGATAAATTCCAGCACTCATGCTCTTCTGTGTTTTTTCTGGAGGGCTGAAATGCAATTTTTAATTTAGAATATTTCAGATGAAACATTTTAGATGTTTTCTAGTGCAATGTGGCCCATGTCCACATAAACACAGTACACTTTTTGAAAAAGAGCTTGTGATTCTTTCCCAGTATGCCAGTTCACAACCAGAAGGACTTCGCTACGTTTAAGTCCATACTGAGAGAGTAAAATAAAATGATTATTGCTTTTCATTATAAAGAATACATGAATCCAATGTATCAGTTCCAATTGGTCAAGGTCTCTCCACGGTAATTTGTACTTTCAAGATTTCTTTTATTCATCATATGTTTATAATTTCATTATACACATGAAATTTATTTTGATGATGGAAAATATTTAAAATATAAAGACATTGCTATAAATGAATTTTTACAAAACAAAAATATATATTGTATTATGAAATACATACTATATAAAAAACAAGATTTATCAAGATACAACATTACAGTTTTATTACATTCATTATTGGATGACAGTCGGAAATTTGAATAAGTAATTTTCACTTTATTGTTGTGAGACCAGTTTTAAAACTTCATTTCAACAGTTCCTTTAATGTTTCGTAGTTGTTCTTCATACAGCCAGTCTTATCAGATCTGCTTGTAAGGATATTCTATTTAATGGGTGAGATTCATCTTGTTTGATTAATCTGAGTTGAGTATCAAGCATCAGTGTTTGGACCCACATGGTGTCAATTTGATAAAACTAAACTAATTCCTCCATGGTATAATTATGTGTTACATACACACAAATGAATAAACATAAAATTGACTTTAAAATGAATATCAGTGAAATTTTGGTTTCACCATTGTTCAATGGAAGTGGGTTTGGTGCAGTGGGAATGGCTTGGTTTCCCAACCTCGAGGTTGGGGTTTCAATCCCTCGCTGTGCATTTCGTTTGTGTCCTTGAGCAAGGCACTTTATCTGCATTGCTTCAGTCTACCCAACTGTATCAATGGGTACCAGCAAATTGCTGGGAGTAACCTGCGGTGGACCAGTGTCCCACCCAGGGGGTGTATTGCACTTTCATCTGCTTCACGCTCCGGAAACTGGGGATAAGCTCCAGCCCTATGAGCCCTAGTGGCTTGGCAGGGATTTATTTTTTTTTTTTAATACCTTTTGTTCAATTGCTTTTGCAATCTGACAGAAATTGCAGTTACTCTATTTTCCTGATGCATTTTTCTAATCTTTTTAAGTACTTTTGAATTTAATCGTGTTTGTCACATTACTGTCAGTGTCGATATCAGCATATTGAATGAATGTATCAAATCAAAGCAATTAATTTCTTTATATTTTTTTTTATATATTTATTCTATCTTCAACATTGACTGAAAGTAAATTCACCTTGATTCAAGTGTGTAAATTTGTGATGAAATATTAATGAAAAGCATCAGAAATGACAAGAAACTTATAATTGCGAGTGTTATTTTCACAGCTGTTCATATCTTAGATTCTTTATTTTCATCACAGAGCGATTAGATAGACAATTAACCTTTAATGCAAAGCTTGATGAGTGTCAATAATATGTACAAAAGGTGATTTGAAATCTTGCGTAGACATCTGAATAATTGCAGCTTCATTAACATCTGAATAATTGCAGCTTCATTAATTTCTTTGCAAGGCTTAGAACAAACATCCACAGCATAACATCCAAAAGACCGAAAAAAAAGTTTTCCAGAATACAAACTACTATTTGCGATAATACTATAGAGTCACTGAAGAAGCCTTTGCTTTTTCCCCCAATATTTTATAAGTGATATGATTTTGAAAAGGTGTGGTGATCTTTAATATGGGCCTTGTCATGCCAAAACTAGCATCAAGTAACCAAAACTAGAAAATTGACCTTTTTCAATATTCTCTACATTATAAGCCTTAAAATGATAGGCCATTTACTGGAATTGACTTTACTATTGCCAAAGTTATGAGTGAAAGTATTAAGGCTTCTGTGTACCAAAGTATACAATCCTGCCATTACCTATATTCTAATTACTCTGTTCCACATAAGTGAGAGTACGCTGGTTTTGCTTCATATGTTGTTATACAAAACTTTTGAGCAAACGTTTTGTTTTTCTGAAAGACAGTGCACCGTATTACCTGTATTTGATACTCGCACATGGAGACTTGTGTAGCTTATTGAATCATGGACACACCATGCCAATGGGTGCTCAAACAATTCCCCTAGTTTAAACAACTGTGCTGTGTTTTTACTCTGGTCAATAATAACTCCCTGCTCTGGTTTATTTAAAGGCTTTTTGGAGGATGACTTGTAACAGGAAAGTTTGATTGGAGGTGGGGATTTGATATATTTTTGTTTTGGGTATCATTCATAAGTCATTATTTTATATTGTTCTTTTGTATTTTTGTATTCTACAGTAATACTGTTCCAAAAGTGAAATTCAAATGTAAGTTGAAATTGAAGTCGCTCATTTAGTAAATCACATGAGAAAAACTGAAATCCCTTTTTGTCTTCTCAGAAAGAACATGATTACCACCTTGAGGCACTTGCTGAACTCCAGTCAAAGGTCAGACCCCTTCCAGGTGAGTGATTAATTCTTAAACAGTCATTTTTTCGGAAATTGACAGTATATTTGAATCAGCTTTTTAGGGATAAACATGTTTTTCCCATAAAGTCATATTAAGGTAGGGGTTTTTTGCTGTGTTGTTTGCATCATGCCTTTCCTCAAATGTTGCTTTTCCCCCATTGCATTTGCTTGAGTATTATCTTAACCCAGCATTGACCTTGTACCCTAGCAATCTGATTTGCATATTGACCTTTCATGCGTATAATATGCTTATATAACTCAAGCGGTTACCTCAGATGAAATTCTCATAAAAGGAAATATACTGCAGGTGTTTGGCACATTTTAAAGATATTTTTATAGTAACTTTAATAGTAAACTTCAAAATATGACAATGAATAATTTCATTGCTATCTATTAATAACTTTAGTTATTATCATACTATCAATAATTGACCCTTTAAATAGATGATTAATTCATGATGTATAATTAAATAATTTTTAATTGAATGAAAATCATTAAAGCCAATATTTTATGTACAAATATTAATGTTGTGGAAAAAGTAGGATAAATGCTATTGGCTACCAATAAATTTGAGTTACAAAGATACTATTAGGTGAGACTTTTTTTATAACTTGTTTCACGAATTTATTTTTTTTAAATCGTCAGATGAAGGTGGGGGAAAAAGTTTATATTTTTTTTTATTTAGCAAAGAGTTATGCCAAAAACATCCAGACGGAGGAAAAAATAAATGTTATTGCTGAATGTAAACAGTAATTGGATGGTTAATTGCTTTAAATTTGTATAATTAGGAAGAAATATACTTTTTTTTTTAGATTTCAAGGCAGCAGCAGGTGTAATAAAAATAAAGTAAAGCTTATTTTTTATGAAATTTACATTTGTTTGTGGTGGTGGGTGCGATAATTGGCCAAAATGAAAATTATTTTTATTTGAACATTATTGGCAAGCGGCGGGTACACTAAACAAGGTATAAAAAAAGTCTCACCCTATGAATGTTGCAAAATGGAGGCATTGACAGCAATCCTCACTATATGTCTATAATAGATAAAAGATACAGGTTTTTTCTAAAATATTTTTGAATTAGAAATTTCTTTTTTGCCTATTTATCATTATTTATTATTATGCATTTTAATTTATTACCTGTGTGCAGTGATTTCTTTTCCTAATTCTAATTCATTTGTTTCAAATTAGATGTTAATATACAACTTCGGCGCTCACAAATTGTCTTATATTTGATTATTTATATTTTATTTTTTTTTTCATCATCAATTGAATTATTGAACTTCAGACGAGCTATTGCAAAGATATTTGAATATGAAGCCCCAGCGAGGTAAATTTATCAGGCCATCAAAGAAATAATTTACTCATTGATCTTTGTTTTTCTTCTTTGATTTGAAAAAAAAAACAAACAATTTGGGTACCATGATTTTTTGTAATTGTTTACACTTGAGATAAAAATGTGTGATAATAACATTTGCAAAAGTGACGTAAACAATTAACATCACCTTTAATTATTTAATTATTAAATTAATGATTTACTTCTTATTATTTGTTATTATTTTTATAGTATTTATTATACAAGTCACTTTAATTTTGTTCATTCTGCATAGTAGTGCCATTTATATTTTGAATGCATCATGCTGTTATTAATTTTGCATGCAAGTTTTCAAATAATTTGGAATGATTGAACAACCCAAGCTGCCAATCATAAAACATAACTTAAGAAGTTTTGTATTTGCTAAATGATTGTGCGGCTTAACTGATTAAAACATATCATGTAGCGCAGTCAGTTTGTCTTGTTTACTCTTGTGAGACATTTGTCAAACACAAGAAACTTTCATTAATATTTTGATTATTTTACTGTCCTTATTAAAGGAAATTGTCAAATTTTATAGATGATTTACAATTATAAGTTTTGTCTAAAATAGATTTTTTCATGTAGAATAAAATTGGATAAAAACAAAATTCTTTTTTTCACAATCAAAAACAAAGCCACTACACGAGCCTCAAAAACTTGTTTAGTCTATATGGTTCCAAAATTATAACTTGAAGAGGTATTATCCAAAATGAGTAAAGCTAAGTAATCATAAAGTATCCAAGAATTATATACAACAAATATGGACAAAAGTTTGTTATTCTACCAAAATTAGAAATGTACAAAGCAATTTGTGATTTCCTCCTGTTGTTGTTGTTGAACCAAATTGATTGACTGCCTAGCAACAACCGTTATGAATTACAAATCTTACTGTCACACACAGCAAATTAATTTTTCTTGTTAATTTTTTTTTTCTTGTGTTTGCATGTCTCAGATTCACTTTATAACATCTGTATCTACCAATTGTAGATACATTCAGTTTTTTTTTTTTTAACTGCATCTTGGTTTTGACTTTTTTTTTTCCTTTGCATCCTCCATTCTTTTCTTTAAATCATCCATTCGCACGTATCACACCAGCACATGTTCTTGGTCAGGCTTTGGGGATCTCCGTGCCTGCAGAGGAAGTGCCTCCAATCTCACATTACAAGCGTAAGTGATCAGTCAGTTAAATCAATATCGATCAATCAATCAACCACTATATTAATCAATCACTATATCAATCAATCACGAAATTAATTAATAACTATATCAATCAATCAATATAATAATCAATCACTTAATCAATCACTAATTCAATCAATCAATGAATCACTATATCAGTCAATGAATCACTATATCAATCAATCAATCACTATACCATTTAATCAGTCAATCACTAACTATATCATTCACTATTTATCAATCAGTCACTATAACAGTCAATCAATATATCAATAAATAATAGAATAATAATAGTAATAATAATAATAATATAAATCAATCACTATATCAATTAATGACTATCAATCATTTAATCACTATTTCAAATAATCACTATATATCAGTCAATCATTAACAACAATGTAGCTTTTACAATTAATAAATGATACATATTTTAATACACAGTTTTCTTGAATCCAAGGTTAGTAAAAATCCACAACATATTGGTCAGGTCAATGTATTAATCTAAAAACTACCATAATAATACTTAATTTATTTAAAATATACAAAATGTCAATTAATTTGTATGTGACACATTTAATATATTATTCATTTGCAGTAAACATTTTCAAATTATAAAAAAAGTATCAACCATGCTGATGAAAAGATTTCAGAAAGATTTCTGATTTCTTTCAGTGGTTTACATTTTTTCTAAGCATTTTGGAGCTCATTTCACCAAAAAAGAAATATACATTATTATGAAATTTCAAATTAATGATTTGGAATTAAATAAAATTAGATGTAAAACATAAAACCCCATTTATTAGGATAAGAATCTGAAAACCACTTTATCATTACTAAAAATGTCACTATCTATGCATGTTCATTATCTTCTTTTCATTTCTTATATGTTTGCATTTATAGTTGTATTATTCTTTTATGCATCATTAATTCATACACAAAAAATGGCTAACCAATAAATGTGATCTTTGTGACATGCTATTGCAAATGTATATTTAATTATTGACTTTGGTGAACATCAAAGTAATGTTTACTGTATCTGAGGCAACAATAAGGTTACTAAGACTTCATTAATCTTGGTCATTTGCACTTTTGTAAAAGAGTTTTTTTATGGTCACTTTATAAAGGAAGAGTACGAGTTGTTTATGTGATAGTAATATGAATGATATTGTTGCTATTTATATTGCTTAATTTAGTTTCTATTATTGTTGTTTTAATGTGCTGCTGGTATTTCAAAAGTTGAAACCATTTACAGATTTTGTTTCTATATCCATGTTTAATACTTGATGATTAGACTGCATGTTAAATCATAATTTATATATTTTTTTAATCAAAAATATGCTACTCATTTCATTATTCACATTATTTTATCATATTTTTTCTGGTTTTGTCTTGATTTTTGCTACGCTAACACCAGACCCCTCAAAGAAAATTAATCGGCCTGTAGAGAAAGGGCGAAGCAAGTCAGTACCTAACACCAAAATCCCCCCTGTTGTGGCTGTGAAAAAGAATCGGGGTCTGTCAGTTCAACTAGAACAAAAGTGTGATAACATTCCAGAAGTAGACTACGACGATGCTCCAGAGAACAATGATGAATCGGACCCAAACGTACCCATTATGGCAGTACGCCCCACAGTACAAAATGGGAAACACGCACGTAGTGCAACATATAATGGGACCTTGTCTACGGACAAAAACCGCAATGACACGGAACCGCCTTCAACTAAAACAAAACCGCGCGAAAAAAGTGCTAAACATTCCCGAAGCAAGACAGTCGATGCTGCCTACGACCGAAACGCGAACTCTAAATTACCAGAAAAAAGGCTGCAGACGGGGGACAATACGCTGCCATATCATCATCAGTGTAAGTGACGTTGTGGTGCTGTCCTGCATGTTGTGTTTGTTGTATTGGTCAGCTGTGAATGACTAACTACTTATTTGCTCTGCTAGTTCTTCGGTGGTGTTTTACATCTTCCTTCTTTGTAACCTCCCTCTATTTCTTCATTTGAATGTTATTAATTATTACAGTACTTAACATAATGTGTTTTAAGTAACAGGCTTCCAGGGTTTCTTTTTTCAATGATTGTCATCACTACATACTTTTAATGAATGTTTGTAAAGTTCAAAAATCTTTCCTCATTGACCAATCAAAATACACTTTGTTCATTATCCAATGGTGGTTTGTAATGCTTATATTCTTTTCCAATTGACCAATCCAAATGCTTCTTGCTTCATATGGTTGCTTGCAAAGATTTAAAATCTGTCCCTGTTGACCAATGAAACGCACTATGCTGAAGTCCAGTGAATGCTTGGGAACTTACAAATGTTTTCTCCGTACTATTGAAACATAACACTACCGACCAATTAACATTTATTTAGTTTCGTGATCTAGTTTTACAATCTTTCTTCCCCAATATTAAACTAATCAAATTGCATTTTGATTATAATCCAGTGGGGGATTGTAAATTTTAAATATAGGTCCCCCTCTAATTAAAGACCCTCCAAATAATGACCGCCTCCAGTTGAAGACCACTTTTCTGTGGTCCCAGATTAACAAATGTCTTTATCTTTATTAATCTAATTAAAGACCAAAGCTGCTAAAGACCATGGCAACATTTGTCCCAATAGTGGTCTTTAATTTGAGGGAGACTAAAAAAAAACAAAACTTTACTTTATTAATCCAAAGAATGTTTGCAATGGTTTAAAATCTTTTCATATTGACCACTCAAAATGCATTTTGCTTTTTAATCCAGTGGATGCTAAAGTTTATCTTATTAATCATTCATTAAAAAAATGACCTTTATGTTGATACCCTAGAGATACTTGTAGAGTTTAGATCACATTGACCAATCAGAATGCAGTATTTCTTGAGCACCGCTTGTAATGTCTTTTTTTTTCTTTTTGTATTTTAACCTTGTAGTAAACATGCACACTTCACAATTTTCCAACAAATTGATGAGGATCGATCATTTATGATCTCCAAGTACATACATGTATTTTGTGTTTAGAGGCTCAAGGTTGTATTTAAATGCATGGTTTACTAAGGTACTTAATATCTAGAATTACTATTATTATCAGATCCATTAAATATTAAAATAATTTATTGACTTACACCATTCAAATTATAAGTTGCATTCAACAAGTGCTGCCTCTTTACAAGTAACTTAATTGCAATTTGAAAATAATTAATCTTGATAACTATTCTTATGATTTTATTAATTTTATTGTTTGACCTATCATGTACTACTGTATGTTACAATACTGTTATTATTATTATTAAAGGCAGGCTCCGGAGAATACCACATTTTTGATATGTTGTAGAACTGATTTTTCTAAGACAATAAAGTTTTTTTTTAATAATAATAATAATATTTAAAAACTAGGGGGAGGGGAAGAAGGGACAACATACAATCCTCATTTCCCGGTTAGTAATTTACCATACCCACCCCCCCCCCCCCCCCCCCCCCATATTTGAAAAAAAATCTGTATCTCATTAACTGTTCCTGAGATTTTGTCAAAAAAACCGTTTTAATGTCTCAGAAATATCAGTTGTACAAGTTATCAGAAATGTTTTTTTTCTCCAGAGCCTAGCTTTTAAAAATGTGGCCTTATTTTCAATACAATAACATGCTGTACTATAGTGTTATATAAAGAAAGTAGTACATTATAAAGTTTTTCCCATGGCCACACAGATATAACTTGAGAAATGTGTTGGTTCAAGACTTGATCTATGGCCCCCTCGATGACAGTGTTGTTAACCAGTATATCTCACAAACTTTAACCCTGTTATTCTGAAAGTTCATGAATCATGCAGTTTGCCTTCTGTAGGTAATATATCCTATTCATCAATGCAGTATTTCAAAGGTTGTAGCAGTGGTGTACATTTATGTGCTGCATTCAATACAGAATAGAGCAGTGTTTGGCCAGCATTTTACTGTTAGGATCCATTCTTCTTTCCAGTACTGTACCAGGTCTACTCCAGCCCTGTAATAGGGCAGATGCTTTTGTCTATCTACCTTCTGCCTTAATCAGCTCTTGTAGTTATAGGCTTATAATGCATTTTATAATAATAATAATAATAATAATAATAATAGATGGATTTATATAGCGCAAATAAACAAGGTCTCTATGCGCTCGGGACTAAATGTTGCATTTTTCAATAACTTTTCTCCTCCCCTATGGAAAACATGTTGAAGGTGGTTACAATAATAATATTATTCAAGAGAATTGATTGGACCAATGCTCTTGGCATAGTGATATTCATGGTAGCTTTTTCGTCTTCTATGCCAGTAATGCACTCTATAGACAGTATACATATATATATATATATATATACATAATAAAGTCATCCATGTGCCAAAAAGAACTTCCAACCAAAATCCTATAATTTTACAAGACAAAAAAAAGACAAGCAGAATATTATATTAATACTGTCACATTCTTATGCTTAATGCCCATTTTTGGGATGACGAGCCTCAAATGTTAATGATATCATGATAAGCTCACAATTCTATCGTAATTTAGAAAAAAAAAGAATTTCAAGCTCATTTGCTGTCTTGTACTGGCAGTTCATTATTCTTGTTCTAAAGATTTAAGTACTCAATAACATTAAACAAAAAGTATTGTAGAGGAAATGAAAAGAAATTATTGATATAATTACAACAAACTTGAATTGAATAACAACTATACGCATTCTCTTCTCTGATTATGTGAATGATAGCGTCATCGAGAGTATCTATTTCGTAAAATCAAACATTTGTAAAACGGACATTTAACTTTATTGTGACCAGTACGTTGGCTTAAATACCAATTGTTGCTAAGTTACTACAAAGAGACAGTATAAACACATAATTATTAAATATGTGTGTTTTTGTAGGGCATGGTGTAAACCCGTCCCTATTGTCAGTTCTTAAGAAAAGTCAATTCTGTACACTTTGCTCCTATAACATCTGCTACATTGGCAATATGCCAAGTTTATTCTCGTAGAGAGCACTAATATATTCCATAAAGTTTAATAAACTTAAGCGACAGTCATTCATGATTAATGAGGCACAACATACAGGCGATGCACAGATTTTGTTTTGATGCAAATTATGAAACTTAAATTCTTGATAAATTCCTGTGGGAACTGCTGAAGGGAGTATTATTTCCAATGTTTTGATGCACTTATTGGTCATAGAATGCGGTTTGTCTTTTGTTTATAATATATAGTACCATAACAAACAAAAGGAGGAAACATTGATAACTAATGTAGTAGGAGTGGCCCAGCTAAAAATATTACGTTATAAGAACTTCATGATAATGTTACAGTTTGGTAATAAGAACGTTACATTGTAGAACCATATGTGTGTACTTATAACCTAATTTCACAACGTCACCATGTTTGAACGTCCTTACAACGTTGTGTGAACATTATTTTGTGGAATACCAAACCACAACGTTCGCAAACCTTTATAAGAATGTTTTGTGTTTGCAGGGGGAGCTGTAATGGTGTAAATATTTCCTTTTGATTCCATTGTCCTGGGTGCAAATCTTTTGAGATAACTAAAAACAATTCCACTACCTACAATTCCTGTGAAGAGACATATAGTTTAAAGAGCAACTTGTAATGGACCCCTCAGTCTTGGATACTGTTGCTAAGGTCTCGCAAAACAACACTGTTAAAACATATGCATACATGTGCGTTTGTGGGGGGTGGGGGCAACACATATGCTTATTAGATATGCGCATATTCCTGTTCTGATTGGTCAGTTGTTAAGTTTGATTGACACTCGAGAAAGGTCCATTCGTCTGATGCCCACTTAGCTCTAGGATTAGGAATATTCCATAGGGATTCAAAGAGGTTCCACATGGTGCGTTGTTAATGTACTGTATATAATGACCAGGAGGAAAAAATTTAAAATACCATGAGCAGCAAATTGTTGACAGATACAAGATGCAACACAAAATTTTATTAATATCATTTATTAATCTGCTATAACAATCAAAATCAACAACTATTAATATTATATTGGTTTTACAGTATTAATTTTTTTTTTTTTTTTACATTTGATTTCAAATTCTCCATTGCTCATTACATCAGCCACTATATATTACTTATTACACTATTATTATTCTGTGTTTAATGATTGGTTTATAATTTTGAATATTAATTACACTTTAACATTCTATGAATGAAATTGTTTCAACAGGTAATGTTGTTAGGGATAAAGGGGATGAGAAAGATGGTGGTGACGAAGATGAGGATGAAATTCCTTCTTTCTTAAGTCGTAAGTTGTAGAAAATTCTACAAAAAAAAAATAATCAAAGGGGCTTTATAATTTTAGTAATGTTCACTAACAGATTCTTAGATTAATTTCATGAAAATATAAAAGATTGTAACAAATGTTTATTTAATTCTTTCAGATACTTCATTTAATACTTTAGGGTAATGCTCAAGCTGTAGTATATTATAGAACTGCCTTAGATAATACAGATGGTTGGTAGCTTTACTAACAAACCAATTATAAATTTATTGGCAGATAAGTAATAAAATATTGCAACATGTCGCAAACTAATCATTCATTAAATTTTTTTCAAACATTTAATTTATTTTATGGTAAAGATATGATTCTAGTAGATAATCATGAAGGTAAGGAGCTTTACTAACAATCAAATTAATTATATTACTATTTGGTGAATGATTTAATAATTATTATTGACAATTTATTTTGAGATTCCTAATAACTAACATGTACTGGTGAGCCATTTGCTTTTATGGATCATCCTAAATCTTATAGGAGTGGAGCTAAATGCTTGGTGTTTCCCTTCAAAAATTCCAAAGCATGGCTTCATTCGTTAGGATGCAATCATGGCAATTATTAAGTTAATTCTTACTAAGGACGACCTTTATTCCCATCCTCATAAACAGACAGGGGTCAAATTTAGCTTCGCTTAGTGTAATGAATTGGTGACCCTGGGCTTGGCCAACCTCCCTCACTCTCCAGTGGCGATTTTGTGATATTTAGGTCTGTTGTAACTTTATTAAAATATATAAATGGTTATCTAACTTGAGGCAGACCAAAATGTATCATATTATGTCATTTCAATAAAACAATGATTACACAGCAGAACTGAAATCTTAGGTGAAATAATAAGAATATGCAATAATGATAAAGTGGAATGATTTTTTTTAATCTTCAGGCACTGTTTTTGAAATTCTTAAATGAAAAGCATTTTCTCTATTATGTTTTATTATCTCATGAAGTCAATACATACCTTATGTATTTAACAGTTCCTGTTATTAAAACCTTTGGTATCGTCCTCTTTATATATGACTAATGCTTTATTCCAATAAGTCTTTAACATACTAATCATTAGATGCTATGATGTTTTCAACTTACGTCGCGACACGCACGTCGTAGGGAATGATTCATCTGGTTGCGTGATGTACAGCATTTATCAGGGTTATTACCGGTCACTCTTGAATCTCAAGTATCGACGTGGGCGTAAATATTCCATTAGGAATTACATTCAAAGGATACTGGAATGTATTACTTAGATCCTTGTTGATTTAATCTCTTTAAAATGTCTATAAATTGATTCTTGTAATGCTCAAAGCAATGGGATAACTAATATGCAGACGTTAAGAAAATGCTGTACTGTGTGTTTCTGTTATAGGCATGCATGATACTTGAAACTAAGAGAGGGCTTTGTTTAGTATGATTGGTACTAAACAGTGAATGTTAAAATTCGTAACTGCAAGGAATAAGCACAATAGAAATACCAACAAATAACAGACATATACATTTTCATAATAAAAATATATTAATTTCATCATAATTGAACAGCAATGATGGAGTAAGAGCAGTTTACTGCTTGGTTCATACCTATTCTTTCTCCTGGCAAGATTGTGCTTTTACTTTGCCGAATAAATATTATTAATTTAAAAATGGCTTGCCATTTACAGAATGGAAATTTAAAAAAAAAAAAAAAAAAATATATATATATATATATATATATATATATATATACACACACACACACAAACACACACCGCTGGTCCTTAATAGATGGCCCACAGGCCAAATTTTGCACGCTGGCTTGTAAGAAAAAATAACATTTAAAAAAATATATATTTAAAGAAACTAAAATTAATAACCATTCGATGAATATTTTTTCAATAAAGTGAAGGCCAAAACACAACACTCTGCCAATGTGAAGTAAGGGTCACCAAGATCTAGAATTAAGTCTGTTACCAACCGATCGACAAACGCCAAAAGATTGGTAGTCTTAGTTCAGCTAAAATTGACATAGCAAATTAAAAATAAAAACTTTATCAGAGTTTTTATTATGTGTAGACCCAAGATTTTTTTTACAGGCAAAATGTTTGGAGGCTTTAAAGCCATGGCATTTTGTGGATATAGGATAAGTGAAATCACACAGAAAATACTGATTGTGTGCCAAACTATTCAGTTGAACAAACTTTTGTATGGCTGATAAAAAAAAAAAATATAGCGTTTTTGTCACGATTATGCCTGTAACTTCTTGTTTGGTTTGAAAATACTCCTACAGGATTACTATTACCAGGGAGTTGTTGTATGGACGACACAAGAGCAGGTAACAATATTTGGTTAGGCGTAAGAAACAAGGTCAATATGATAGAAAAATATATCTAGTTTTACTCTGATTCAAGAAAGGTACATCGCCCACAGGTACACTTGCACAAAGAAAGGAAGATATGACAAGTTCTATTACCAGTCACCAACAACATTAACGTCCAGTGACCCTGACAGATATTTTTGGCATGAAAATATGCTTTATTTTTTATTTCAAATCTGTAGAAGCCTACTTGTTATTAGGTCTATTCAGATTACCATCAGAGAAAGCTTTCTCAAAGAAGAACCCAACACATCCGTTAGGGGAAAAAAATCTGATGTAGCTTTTACAGAATATGAGGCTGAAGTTCGATTACGGGCCTTAAGCATTCAAAATTACTAAATTGCGGCCGACAGGGCCTTCAGCTACAGCATCTTTGAGTTTTACCTTAGGTCCATAAATCAAAGCAAGATACTCGAAACTCCTAAATTTGATCTTTTAATAGGGTACTCAATATTTGTTTAAGTATATTTTTCCTCCTTAACGATGTATTGTCTATGCAAAATACCAATAAAATCATAAAAGTTATTTTTTTTTAAATTAACTTGTTCATTTTGAAATAACATAAAAATTATCAACTTGAATAGAAATTAGAGTATTTAAAAATATTTACACAAGTTGACCCATAATTTTATAGCAAAATATTAACACTTCCATTCACTGTGTTCTATTAGTTTTATTATAATTATAATAAAACTTATAATTTGTTTGTTATTGCAAAATGAGCAAGTTAATTTCAAAAATTATTTTTTAATTATTTCCTGTCTTTTTCAGGGAACTATACATCTTTAATATCAGTATTCTTAATTTTGAATATGCAGTAATGCATTTATTCAAGTAGTTCTACAAATTTTTTGATTGATATGTATGTACCTGTACATTACAATTTATATTAATATTCATTGTCGTAAATCCTCAGACTTTATTTTTACAAGTGATTTCCCTAGAGCTAGGCAATAATGCAGTCCCTTATAACTTGATATTCATTATCTTAACCCTCTGGGGCTGCCCCTTCTTATTGTTCCTCTAACCTTAGATTGTCTCATTGAATTATATTAATTATCTTAACCATTTGGGGCTGTTATTATTAATAGTTCCTCAAACTATAAAAAAGAAATTTGCGCTGGTAAAGAATATTAAGAAAAACCAGCTCTGGTGCAGTCCCTTGAATTGTTCCTCTAATACGGGACTACAGGTGTTCTCGTTAAATTATATTGATTATCTTCACCATTTGGGGCTGTTTTTGTGAATGGTTCCGCATAGAGGTAGTTTCTTGCAATATGCGCTATATAAATAGCAAATTATTGTTATTATAAAAAGAAATAGCATTAGTAAATGACATAAATTATATGTTCCAAGCATTATCTGATGATGTACCGCCATCAGGCACACATGTGTATTGCTCTAGTCAGTTTATCTTCCCAAGGAACAACTAAGTTATATAGGCTTAATAATAAATGATTTTGTGTTGATGTTGGTACTGTTGGCCAGAACCCTATCAAAATTACTTTAGAGCCACCCTCCTCCAAAAAATGTTTTTCCTCCGGGCAGTTATGGGTGTGGAAATTTGCCAACAGGCGTTCCGACATGTTTAACAGGGTCGTCCGAACCAAGGGGTTGACAGAGCCTCTGTCAGGCTCCCAGAATAATAAGTCCCAGTGTAGGGTTCACATTGAGGGTCTTTATGGCATAGTATTGCCAAGATTGTGCTATTTAGACCACAATATTATGGAATGGTAATCAAATTATTATTTTTGGTCAGATGACCTTCAGACAATGGGGAAGGTGGTTTGGGGGCGGGGGGTCCCGGCCTGTATGATGGGAAAAATGCGAAAAAAATACATGATTAAGGCAGGCACAAGCTGGATCGATCTAATCTCCACTCTGCAAATGTTTACCATGATGCCGTCTGGTGGTTGCCAGTCACACTCTGAGCAGATTGTTTTTAAAAAATGGTCCGTCGTGTTCAAATTGTCCCCTGGAAATCTCTATGGAATCGTGCCAAGGACCATTCACTGATGTAATATTTACGCTTACATAATTGATCAACTCAGAGAACCTTGACGCAACAAAAGTGAACTCAGAAAATTCATCATCAAACTGTTGTTATACATCTAAAAAATTAATCAATATATCCCAGTAAGCAATGTTTTTGACCTTTGCCAACTTATGATCATTTTATTCCTAAGCCTGCTATTAAGTGACCAGTGTACTTGTGTTTTACTAGATTTATTTTAATACTTAGCTAACAGGTTGGGCTATTAATAATGTTCAAGGGATTGTCCATAATACTCCTAATGCTAAATTGACAGCGATTTTTCAAAATCATAATTAAGCAGTGCCCTCGTCATACTTTTAGTACTTCACACTGGATTTGTTGTCACTACGATCGATCGCTGTTAATGACGAAGGTCATTGTTTTACAAGCTTGCATCTTTCAGAAGTTTTATGGATATGGAGCTGTCTTTGTATCTGTATTTTGTAATTATCATCATCTTTGAATGAATAATGAAGTGGTCCAAACACTGTCACTTTATGTTCGTTTTGTGTTTATCTTCGGATTTAGATGTGATACATTGGTTTGATGAGTTCGTGAACTTAAGTCTAGATTTTGATGTACTCTGCTTGTTCGCTGATTCATCTTCCCTCAAGTTATAAATCAGGTTTTTTTTAAATTGGACTTTAAGAATAATTGCTTTAATAATTGAATTTTAATTTTTACAACTACACCAATTGTATGATTGGAGGTTTCAAGCGGTATTATTTGGATATTGCCATCTTTTTATGAATTTATAAGATAATCATTTTTTTATTACTTGATTGCAATTTCTATACATCTGAGAAAAGACTTGTCATGAATTGTTAATTTAATTGTAAGATTCATGTGTTTTAGTTAATATTGTTGTTGCACTATTGTATTCAGTTCTTTGAGTATTCCAGGGACTCCCTACTATTAGGGAGTGAGAACTATAGAACTTGTCACAGAAACTGAAAAAAACTTATTTCAATGGACAGACAACAAAACCGGCATAAAAACAACTATTAAACATTTTAAAATGTCAGGATATGGTACAGTACTTAAAATTTTATCTAACCCGGTAACTTACCAGATAGCATTACATTTCTTTTTATTTTTTTTATATATTTATTTGCAAAATATTTATTCAGAATATCATATTAAATGTACAACAAACAGAAGACCTTGAAATGAAATACATTTTCAATAAGGTCCTGAGTTACAGTACATAGAAAAAAAAAAATCATAATTCTGGACAAAATGCAGGTTTGATTAGAAATGATTGATTTTGTCTGTGTTGAAAGAATCCTCAGAGATATACAAATAGATACAAATTTAGAAATTGTACCAATTGCAGAGATACTATTTAATATTGATTTCTAGATCAGAATATTATTGTCATGACTGCTGTTGCTGCCGCTATTGTCGTAGTTATTGGCTTAACGACAAGGACACTTAGATTTCTGTAAATTGTTTTGTTGTCAATGCGTCGGATATAATACTTAATTCTGCCATTTGCGGTTTTTTTTTTAAACATTTGATAAGAAATCACTGTAATAATTTCCTTGTCTTACTGACAGATTTGTACATGATGACTTGTCAAGATGTTATCTACGGAAATAATCAAAATTATACATTTTCATTTGTACAATTTCTCGATATTCAAAATATCGAGAAATAAATCATTCAATTCAAGGTCACAATTTATAAGCCTAAGCTAAAAGTGATTATTGAATGATAAAAAAAAAATGACCATGAAATATCATTTATTATAAAGCAATATGGAATGTTTGAAAGCTATGTATGGTAAATAAGACTATTTTTATTTAACAACCTATAATAATAATAATAATAATAAGAGCAACATATCAATGAAGTACGTACAATTTAATAATATGATTTATGTAGCGCCTTCACGAAATGATCAAGGTGCTTCACAATGACTAACACCACCTAATATCTAGAAGTCTTACAAAAATAGTCATTATAATATTTAGAAATAATTAAAAAGTCACAATAGGTAATTGAAAAGATTGAAGAAAAATTAACATTAAAATACTGCTGCCTGTTCATAAAATGAAACCATCCTGATCTCCCTTTTTTATGATTGGCTTTAATATGTACTGCCACTTTAAAATGGCTGGATAATGAATGAGTGTCAAAGAATGCTATAATAATAATGTGTCAGTCCTATATCCTGCCTATACCTCTAAGCACTTACACATAATTACGAGGCAATCATTGGATCCAACACATTACTCGGCTCCCCTGGGAAGCATTTCATAATGTTGACGCTAGATACAGTAGTTATCAAAGCATTGGCTTTTAAACTTCAGTACCCACTTATGCTCCAGAGTGGAAAGCAAGAAAATAGATTAAGTGGTTTTCTCCAGGATACAAACAGCTTATCAGCTTTTATCTTGAACCTACAACCTTTTTATTGGAAACCTGGCACTTTACATTTGCACCACATTCTTCCTAATGTACAATAAATTTAGGCAAATGATTTTTCTTTTCAGAGATATTCATTGAAACTTGACAATTTTTCTCACAATTTAGCTTAGTTTCTGCTCAACAAATAATCAATTATAGCCTCGAACCCACAACCTTTTTATATGAAGCCCAACACTTTAACTCTATTTACATTCTTCTCAGAAAGCAGAAATATTCATCGAAACATCACAGTTTTTTTCACCAATTGATTAACTTTCAGTTTTTATAAAATATTTTAATTGCATGTCATCAGAGATTATAGAAAGCAAAATATACCAGTAGAGTTCAAGCCATCTCAGCATTGTGAGAACAAATTGACCTGAAATTCAAGATAAAACAAATGGTTTTTGTTTAAACCTGAGAGTAGTGGTATTAGAGAGCAAGATTAAACGATTTGTTATCCAAAAGCCTTCCTCCTCACTCACCAATCCAGGTTGATTAACCAAAATGATTATTCATGTTCCAATTGACAGGTAAAATACTAAGTAATCCTTGAGACAGAAGGGACAAGAAATTTGAAATGAGTCAACATGCTAATGAACGTTTAATCGGAAGATATGTTTGACAAGACAAGATGTAAATTATACATATAGTGTCAACTAATTGCTATCATTTCCTAAATTGTTTAATATTTTGTATTATTATTTTATAAAGTATTGCTTAGACATCACCAAAAAAAAAAATGTTACTTTCTGTGCACAGTCATAGACCTTATATATCCACTTGCAAGGCACTTAACTATCGCAAGGGTATATTATGTTAATGATGTTTTATATAATAAATGTATAAAGTGTTAGCATTATGAGGGGAAAATGCTAACATTGTTTGTTGAATATGAAAACACAACTTGTAAGCCAATTCACCTCATCTATCTTAATTTTTAGTTAAAATAGATTGTTTTGTGCCATTTTTCGGTAATTACGCTTAAAATTTAATATAATATCTTGTTATCCACTATATTATCTTCAGTTTTACTGAACACAACCTACAGAGATTTATCACGTAAACATTTCCATGGTAACATAAAGCTCTCTTCTTTTGAGTGGTGAATTTTCAGCTGCTCAATGGCATTTTAATAGATGGTTAGGCGATCATAAAATTTACTTCATAAGAATGATGTCGTCAAGTAGATTTTAAGTATATTTTTATCTGATTCTAAAGTTCAAGACTATATTATTTGTTAATCGTTGTTGGAAACTAACATACTGTTACTATTTTTCTTAAACGTGCGCATTTAGTATGTTGAAAACCTAACATGTTTTTTTTTTTTATCTCCAGTGTAAAATATTTATCACAGTATCAGTAGGAAAATATCTTTTGGCTCGTTTATTTGTGCAACTACTATATATGTGACCGACTCTGGGAAATCCAGGCACTGTTTATCAAAAACGAAAGTCGTCAAATCAGCCAAAATTCTCATGTATTGTCCATCTTAATGCATGTTGGACTGAAAAAATAACTTATCATATCATCACCATTTGTTATCTGTTTTTAACAAGTTGTGCATCAATTATAAGTTTTTGAACCCTAGATTACAAATATCTAATAATGTCATTTTTCATTTTAGGAGACAAGATCTTGTTTTTCCAAGAGAGGGTCACATAAACACAATGGCAAATAAATGATTCATGTTCAGTGTGACAAACTAACATACCATTACTATTTTTTTTTTTCTACTTGTGCATTCTGTGTGTTGAAAACCTAACACAGTATCATAATTGTTTTCTCCAGTGCAAAATATTTATCACAATATCGGTGGGAAAATCTCTTTTGATTCCTTTAGTTACACATACTACTCTATATACACCACCATTCAAAATAATTAATTCTTGTTTTGTGAGCATTTATATATGATGAATTTTGATAAATCTGTCATTAACAGTATTTAGCCCAATAAAAATATTGGTTTTTTTAAAACTATATTTTTGCTGTATGGATGGTTTGCATACAAAAACTACACAAGTTTGTGTTTGATAGCCTAGTGTTTTTTTGCAGCTAAATATCTCATACAGACAACCTGTTACTATCACTGTTGTTTTCTAGTTTCAATCCAAAGCAGGAGGTCGCCATGGCAACCTATGCTTTTAAGCTGATTCAAAACATGTTTATTAATTTTAATATTTTGCATTTAATTTCAGAAAGTAAACATATATGTTTTTTTTTTATTTATTTATTTTTTTCCATTTTTAACTAATGTTGTATCATTCATTTTTAAATGTTTCGCATCATTGTTGTTGTCAACAACATTTTGTTTGACACTTGTTCAGATTTTAACTGCAACATATTCTATCACTTCATTTCAGTTCCACCTCCACAGGAACCACCTCCACCTCCTGATTATGACCTCAATGATGAAGATATACTAAACGAGGAAGGGGTTCCCTATCATCATCAGTGTATGTTAATCATAATTATATATCTTAAGGAAAATTCAATGATGCTAAAACCATCCATATGCTCCTATTATATGTTCAATGCTTATTATTCTTTAAAATTACATTACATCATTGTACACATGTATCTTCTCCACAATATTCTTTATTTTAACCCTTTGAACCCTTCATTATTTACATCTTGCGGCACCCTCACAGTGAGTTATTTGGACAAAATATGCTTTTTTTGTATTACAATCATCACCACCACCTCCTATTCCCTGTACCGCTACCATAGCCATCCATCAACCTGACGCACAACTATCATCACTACCACTACTATCGTGATCGGCCTGGCCTAGGGCTCCTATACTGTTTACCTCACTTTCACTTTCCAAATCACTTCCTGGATAATCGTCATCATCAATATTTTCTTGGGAGTTATAAAGTATCAATCATAAAGCACGTTGGCATTTATTGTCAAATTATTCAATATAAATTTGTTTTTTCAAAAAAATCAACACGTACGAGGCTGTCAGAACGACTTGGGAATGATATTCCCAAGATTACGTCAGGTGGTTACCCCGAATAATGTCATCTGACCCGCAAAGCTGGTATAACGGCCTTTAGGGTTATTGCAGCGTAAGCACACAGGCGCTTTTCCGGCCTTTCAGGTTCAAAGGGTTAAGGATTGTATTTATGTATTATAATTTTTCATTCAATTTTATTCAATTATTATTTAGTGTGTAAGAGATACTGTTTATCAATATTAAAAAAAATGATTACCTATGCCAGTACTATTTTCATATTTTGTACATCTTATTATATAACATTTTTTTATTTTAAAGATTACATTGATAAACAAATTTATTATTGGTATTATTTAATAAATAAAAATACATATACAATTATTAATAATATTTAGTGTGTAATATTTATTGTTTGTCAATCTACAAAAAAAAATGATTACCTATGCCAATACCATTTTCATATTTTGGGCATCTTATATAAAGTTCATTCATAATTTTTTAATAAGTATTAATTTTAACCCTTATTAAAATTACAATCATTGTCAAACTGTTTACTCTTTCAAGTCAATTACCATACAGTATTGTTATACTTCCTTATCTGTCTCACATTTTGCCTAGAGAGGGCAGTATGTTATATTTTTGCAAAAAACTCAAAACTATAGGTTGGAAGATAGATTTGTTCTATATTTATGTAATATTTGAGTAAATATAATGATAGTAGTCGTATTAATAATACAGTCATTATAATTCATATGTATAAACCAACAACAAAACAAAGAAAATTAGACCGTAAAAAATGAGATTGTCTATTTTATCTCCATATAATTTTAAAATATATCAAGATATATCTTATGTCACTAATGTAATTTTGTTGCTTGTTTTTAATTTTTAATTGTAGTAAATAAGACAGGTAGAGATAGCTCATCTGACGATGGCCAACCAACGTCACCAGTGAATCGTGCGTTTTTACCAGCAGACGATAATCCAGTGCTTATTCAAGCGAAACCACTACCGAACCCCGTCAAGGGATCAAGAATGCACAAAGACCTTCATTTTGAATTAAAACATAGGTAAAGTTATAATTTACAATATTATTATTTCACTCATACTTTTAAACCAAGGATAAACCCAGGTTATTTCCACCAGGGCAGCAAAATTCCAGTCAATAACCTTTTATATGGTGGGTGGTAGACCTCTAGAATCTCGAGAGTATTGGAACAGTTTGTACTTGGCAGGGGTCCGAGGTCTACCACAGGTTGTGGGAGTCTTACAAAAATTGGCACTGTTTCCAACACTTCTAAAAGCTATTTGCATGAATTTACTACTGTATTATTGTGTTTCCCTAAAGTTTTTTTTTTCTTTCAAGGCAAAAATGCCATTTATTGTCCATACAACTTATATAGGTCTATACCATAGTGTTACCATATGCAGTTTCAAACATCATAGAAACATTTTTTCAGATCAAACAGCCCTACATTATATCACAACAATGTTAGTCGTCCTATCATCAACTAATTACATTGTCTAAATATTCCAGGATCGTTCTATGCGTGTTACATCAGTTAACATCATTAGCGTGTTTTCATTCAACAGGATTGATATCAGTTTGATAAAGTACACAAATACCATGTACTGTAACCTACTTAAAAACTTTGAATGTAATATTACTCCAAATCGTCATTTCACAAACATAGCATCGATATAGTATTCTGCGTGGTACAGTAGGAAAAAATGAAGTTAGTTGGCTATGGATGTTACCACGTTTTGGCAAAATACAATTTGATGTGTTAAAAAAGTTGACCATTATTATTATTTTATTATTATTATTAGTAGTAGTATTATTGTTATTATTATTATTAACCAGATCTCCTGGAAGTAGTTTATCCCAAATTAAGGCCCTTGAAGCATAACACAATAGCAAAAAATTACATTCTTCCAATGTCCGTTTTTATTTCTTTCAGAATGAAAATTATATGTATTTTAATGATTATGTTTTGGTGATTATTGTGTGTGTTTTTGTAATTGAATGTCTCCAATACTTTGTAAAATGTTATTACTTTGTAAGTAAGGTGTACCATTATGGTGTATATGAAGCTGTAATGATGGAATATAAGAGTCCAATTATTATAATTCATTATCTTTTATCTAGTGGGAGAGATGTTTTAAAGCCTGAGTTAGCAAGAGTTATGACGCAACGAAAACACCAAAAATCTAAAGCAGAATTGGATGCAGAGAAAAAAGCAAAACGAACAAGTCTCGAGATAAAATTACAGGAACGACAGGAAATTTTAAAACAGGTAATGTAGTGTGTGATCATATTATTGTAGAACAGTTTTGGTCGTTAATAAACCAGACACAATCGATGCTTACTTAGTGCGAGCTTTCGTCGATGTTATCAACATGACTTCGTCAGGCCATTCATTGTGTTTGGTTTATTAACGATCAAAACAGTTCTACAACAATAGTAAGTAAACCAGATAAAACGATTCAAAGACCTTTTTTAAGTATGATAAACTTCTATGATTAAAAAATCATATGAAGTGTTTCAATGTTTTTTAGGCGATAAAAGGAATAAGTTTATTATTATAATAATTCAATTATAGTTTTTGTTCTTTGAATAAATTAAGAAAAGTATAAACTTCAATGATATATAAAACTTTTCAAAACTTTTTATGATAAAATCTTTAATCCATTCTTCACCTTATTTTTATTTTTTCTATTTATTAGAAGGACGAGAAACTAAAAATTCCTGGAGAAGCCATTCCTGAAGAAGAGGGCCAGTCAGAGTTGTATCGTGTGAGAGCATCCTTAAAGTCGAAAGAAGCAGCCAAAACATAACATTGAACATAAGTCTCTGAAGTACTAACAATTTCCAACGTATCATTGAAACAGTCAATGATACAAAGATGATTCTTGAATGTATCAAAAGGGCTTTTATAAAATTAAATTATTTACTCATGGTCTTATGTTAATAGCATACTACTGGTAAATATTTTCACAATATATTATATTATGTTATTATAATTACAAAAAAAAAATTGCAAAAAAATTTATTGTAAACTTTTATAGAAATTATAATCTAAAGATTAGCCTTAAAACTTTATGAATGTAAGCCAACATAATTATTTTCATATTTTTTATATCAAGCTAATTCTTTATTTTTCCGATTGAAAACTTTTTTATATATCATATAACTTTTAGAAAATAAATTTGCAGAGTATGAAACTGGTGTTTTAACTCATCATAATTATGTAGTACATAACATTCTTATTATTGATATTTTTATTTTACTTTTTTTTGAATTTTTTTTTTGATACATTTTGCTTAGAATTTTTGCTGGTGATGTCATATATTTACTTTTTTATATTCTGAAACAATTATTATACTTTTTTTTTTGCAATGATATTTGCATCATGACTGCAAACACATTTGTTTTAAAAAAAGGGGATAATATTTTCATGCTTTAATATACTGTATACTTTTTAATGCTATTATTTCAGTAATTTATTCTATTCATTTCAACTCAATCACATATATGTACTCTAGCTCATGTTCTTAGCGTGCATCAAGAAGTCTTCCAGAGCCATTCGTCTTTGCCTCTCTTTCAAGGAAATACAACTACAATAGAATTCAAATACTATGTTTTAAAGCTGCTCCGTTTACAAAATGTGCTTTACAAAGTTTAAGGAAATTTAGAGAAGTATTATGTTTAATAGGATTGTACATTAACTGAAATACAATTTATAATAAGTATATTGTAATCTTTGTCAATAACAGCTATATAGTACATTATTTTAAGTAAAGATCATTTTAATTTAGAGTAGTTCACAATTATCAACATTTTCACAAGTGTACAAACAGTACTCTTCTTCGGTACCCCCTCCCTCCCCTCTGAAAGTGTACAAAAAATATGTTTATTTTGCAAAACTATTTTCAGTTTTCCAACTAAAGCAATGTACTTGGTTGCTTAAAAGTGAATGTTATTTTACTATTATTTTACATATTGCCTGTTATTTTGAATCAACATTGTTATGCATATGTAAAAGTGTACAAATTTGTCTACCCCCTGCCCTCTAGCGTACTGTTTGTACACTTGTGAATATGTTGATAATTTTGAACGACCCTTATATATATTTCAATTAACATTGCTTTACATAGCTTTCTTTAGTTTTTACCAATATGATGTAACTTATTGCAACCCTAGAGAGATAGTAGAGAAATTCAAAAGGTGAAATTATAAGCTTGCGTAGCTATGGACAAAATTTTAGTTAAAACTTAGTTACAGGGGTGTATACATGTGTCTCTCGCTGATCACAAGTGTCTATGCACATGTCTGTATGAACATTTGTTTGCGACCACATATGTCTGTTATCACAGGTGTCTATGCATATGCATCCTTGACCACATTTGTCTGTTATCACAGCTAGTGTCTATGCATATGTGTTTGTGATCACATGTGTCTATATATGTGACCACATGCGTTTGTAATCATAGGTATCTATGCACATGTATCTGTGTGAACATTTGTGACCACATGTGTCTGTTATCACAGGTGTTTATGCATATGTGTTTGTCATCACAAGTATCTATGATCATGTGTCAGTGATCGCATGTATCTATATCTGTGACTACATGTATTTGTGATCACAGTTATTTGTGCACATGTGTCTGTGATCACAGATGTCTATGTACATTTGCATGTAACCACATATGGATCTATGCTAATCAGTGTCATATACTGTATGTATAGGTATACTGTAATTAACAACCCCAACACTGCCCTCTGTTTATTAATCAAACCTAGCCTAAAACATATTGTGTTTAACTTCACCAAATGGCAGTGTCTTTCATTTAACAGTGATTAGTTAACACACAGGATGTGTAAAATATAATGTATACGAATTATAAATCATTTTTGCCTATACATCAATATGTTGGAGCTTGAAAAATATACTAATTTAAAGGTGTAGTGTGCTACATGAAAATTAGCTTGGACCGTACAAAAGATATATAACGTTTATCATCTGTCATGCTTCTTTAGAATTTGTTTGAAATTTCTATTTCAGCTTTCAGACCAACACAGCCTCTGACTAAGTGTCATCGAATCCCGTTGGGATAGTGTGGGGGGAGTGGGAGAGTGAAGTTGATGAAATTATCCTATGTCTCCCAAATATTATGCTGCAAGCGCTATTAAGCCTGGGATTAGTCCCCATATTAGTTTCCCGTACAGAATTTTGTGATTTGCGTTTATTATGCCTTCCAAAAATTTACTGTCTTTTCTAGCAATAGTATGTGCATAAATTATCTGTTAATATATGCAAATGAGATGCGTGCTAGATTGATGTCAGTGAATACTCGGGCTTGGTGCTGAGTGGATGGCAGGGCTTTTTTCACTATGATCTACTATTTTGTTATGTATATGGTAAAGAGAATTATGAGGACATGACTGTGAAGTATTTAATACACAACACAACACAACGAATAATAATTTATAGATAAATAAACATGTTCAAATGCGCAATATCTGGAATTGATTTCATACAGGCCTATGTTCTAACTTCTAGGACTATAATAGAGTATGCTAATTAGCTGTCTCAATATTATTTTTGGTTGCTCACAATATGCTCAACCTCTTAATCTAGTTAACTCACTGACAGTTGGGATATACTGTGTGTCATCTGAGGTCATGACCTCAGGTGACACAGTTGTAATATACTGTATGTGTCATCTGATGTCATGACCTCAGGGAACACGCCCTCAGGTGACACAGTTGTGATATACTGTATGTGTCATCTGAGGTCATGACCTCAGGTGACATGCAATTAAGATATACTGTGTGTCATCTGAGATCATGACCTCGGGTGACGCAGTTGGGATATACTGTGTGTATCATCTGAGGTCATGAGAGGTTGTGAGATAATTATGTGAGGTCATCGTAGGTCAACTTCAATATTAACTCCACATTTTGGAAAATTATCAACTGCTCCGTAATGAACTAAATAATCATAATGTTTCCAGAGCCAAGTATCTGAAGAAAACAATGATATAATTAGTTACAGAAATTGTATGATCAAACTTTTTTCTTTATTCTTTTTATGTAATTACTTTAAGAAAATTATAAATTGATACATTGTATTTAAACATGTTATTTACCGTTTATGATAATATAAGTTTTTGTATTTTCTCTATAGTGTTTTCTTTGACAAGACAACTATATTTTTTGTTACCAGATGAAATATGGACTGGAATTTACATGTTGAATTAATGATGTTGGTATACATACTACATATTATATCAAACAGACATTAGTGGACGTTTATCATTATGTGATATATTTTGATCGTAAATTTAAAACTACTTATAAAAACAGGGATGTATAGTATAGAAACAACTATAAAGAATAGCAGTATAGAAAAGAAGTTATTAAAAATAGAATTATTTAAATCTGGTAATTGATTTATCACAATAAACAGCATTATATATCAATTTAAATGTACTTTTTGTGTTGAGGTTGTAAACTTGAAAAATATAATTCTTTAAATTTGCTTATTTTAATTAATGGACTTTTTCGCTAAGCCCCGCCCCTTGGATACTGTTGCTAAGTTCAAACATACACAAACACGTGCGTTTGTGGGGTAACACATGCTTTTAGACCCACGCGCATTCCTGGCTCTGATCTGATTGGTCAGTTGTTAAGATTGACAGTCCAGAAGATCCATTATATGTGTTATTAGTTTGAAAAACAATCATACCAATTAACAGGAGAATTGTATAACTGATTTTTTTTTTTTTTTTACAGTATCTGTCATTTTGAAAGTTGAGGTCTTCATTCATTGGTATTTTGAAATAAGCAAATCAATGTTTTATTTTGAATTTTCAGTTAATTTTTTAGTTTCTACTACAGCTAGTATATTTTAAGTGACATTTTGTTGTACTTTATAAAATGTTTTCTGAATTACGTAACTGTATACACTTAAGTTGTACAATATTGATAGAAAAATGAGAATGGGTTATATAAGCCATACTTTTATATTAAAAACAAATTTAATTTAATCTAGCCATTCCATAACTTGGTTATTTTGTACAAATATTACATAAAAATCCAATTCATAATAAACTTAACCTAATTTTGAAAATCGTATTTAGTGTTTATTTTTGTTTTGTGTAGTATCGGTATAGAGTTAAACTCTAGCGTAGTACGATTAATGCCGCCCTCAACAGGAATACAAGTGCACCTTATGACTTATGCAAACCTTTTTTCCGTACGATGGTAAAGCAACATCTCATGAATTATTCATATCCTCACGATAGAACATAGTTCGTGCATGCGCTATCCTTACAGACCGGTGGTTGCTAAATACCACAACTTCAGCTGATGAAGGAGGTGTGGCTTCTTTTGGTGACGTCATACAATATTGTTACATACCTGGTTTTAAAACGACCTTAGAGCTTACAAACCCCTCCTCTGATTTGGGATACGGTCTTGGTTTATTGCAATCATCAATATAAAAAGAGATTGAAATTTAACATCAAAAAGGGTTTCCCAAAAACACGACGAAACTCACAAAAGCATCATGAAAAGAAAGTGAGGAGAACGGAAGTGTTGACTGTGCAAGGAAGGTTACCAATTTTGGAACAAACCATGATTGATTATAAATGTTTTTGATCGATTTGTGTTGACCTTCGGGATACTAAATTGACGGGGTCTTCTAAGATTGTATTTAGAATCGCGGGCTGTAGGTAATAAATAGTTTAATCATGATTAGAATCCTTGATTTTGTTAAAGAAATCCCTACACAGTCGAACACGTCGCTCTTCCAATGTTGGCATTTCAAGCAGAGACCGAGCTCCATTATAACTAACACCAGGAAGGATACATTTAAGCACTCTTTTTTGGATCTGTTCCAGAACTTGGCTTCGTTGCTTAGTGATATTAGTACCCCACACTGGGGCTGCATATTCTAGAATAGGTCTAATAGTACTGATATAGAAATGAACAAGTAGCGTGGAGGGTCGGGGTGGGGGTGGTGGTTAATGGGGTTACAACGAACCGCCTAAAAACTGGAGAAAGGTCCGCATTTAAAAACGAAAAATTGATATTCGTAGATATATTTACAATGTTCTCCAGAGTATCACAGATAAGGGTCCACTTTCCACTGAAACGAACCTCCCACAAATTCACGCTACGGGCCTGCGTACATCACACATTGTTGATAATAGACCTAGTTTTGGCATCATAACGAAGTGTGTTTCCTTGAAGGCTATTTTCAATAATATACCATGGACCTACAGTATTAATTATTAATAGGTCCATGAATATATTTCGTTCCGTTCCGTTTATGTTTCTAATTATAGGTTATGCGGACAAAAGTATTTTCCTGTGGGTTTTCCAGAGTAATTTAACATGCGTTTTATTTAATTAGTCGGCTTATCACAATGTTCATGATATTTGCTATGGAACAATAGAAATTTTCTCGGTTTTTTTCCACATAAATGTTTCTCATGCGTATCCATGGTATAGAGCCACTATAGCTTAAATAGACCTGTATGGAATAATTACTGTATAACAACGTTAGTTTATTTGAGTATGATCATTTTGTTTTGCAGCCCCTAAATCCGCCCCTGGCTCAACTAAGACACACTGCCGACGTGGGAAATTTCACAAAACTGAAACTCATTATTGCCGTGTATAAGGTAAGCTGACAATCATCCGGTTTATTTAAATAGTCACTATTTAAATGCTACAGTAGGCCTAATAGTCATTATTGCATTATATTAGACAATTTTGCAGGCACATTTTCACTACTTGTCAAATTCCTACAACGTTGTATCATAGGCCGCTAGTTTTGTGTTGCCTCATAAGTTCCATATCTGCTCTCTCTTGCCTTTCAGTTCTTCTTTCCTCAGCCTCCTACCATTTCGCCTAATGAGCTGGTTACTGCCTCCATTGTTTCCTGAATTTTTTTTTTTTTTGTTTTTTTTTTTTGTTTTGTGTGTGTTCTTTTCTTTTGTTTCTCTGTGGAAATAATAATTGAAATAAATTCCGTTGTGTAAAATGTTGATACACATAATAATTATAACAAAATTTATCAGGGCAATCCCTCATAAGCTAATTGGAAAGTTCCGTGGCATAGCACGCGCGGGTTTTGCAATGCCATAATAAATTTAGCTGTACACACGCTGGCGGGAGAGAATCAAATGAACATTCAAGGTGAGCACGCCGATATTGTGAATTGTAGCTTTATTGCACACGTGAGAAGTTATTACATTAGTAGGCTACTTCTACCGCTTCTACTTTTTTTTTTTTTTTTTTTTTTTGCTTCTTTTTCAAATGTACGTTTTACTGTTATCTTCTCTAAGTTTGTACCCGGGTTGTACCCTGGCTGCGCTACGCTGAATGTGTCCCGCGCACGTCCATCCCGGAAGATTTGGTAACCCGAGTAGGACTTTTTGACGTTTACACTAACCAGAACTCGGGAGATTTTTACCCGGGTAATCGAAAATCCCGAGTTACGTCCGGAATTTTGCTTGCAGTGTAAAACGGGTATTACAGACTAGTTGATTGTGCAGGCCAAACAGACGTGTATGGAGTGCCATAGACGTGGGAGAGGGTTAGTACCCGTTGTCAGCGTGAGTTTTCCCTCTCTTGTTAGTAGCTAGTAGAGAAAAATGATTTAGGGATATTTGTGGTGAGGGTGCATATGGCACAAAATATGTCCACATTCACCGAGTATCGCTTCTATAACAGCCTATAATAATATTGGGCGTTTTTCCTTGAAGCATGAGTATATTTTATAGTTATTTTCTTTTTGTCCATAAGCAGAGGCAACTTTATTGTAATATACATTATTATACACGCAGTAACTTACATTATTATTACACGCCCAGTTAATCGAACATTGAACAATTAAGTATGGTGTCTTGGTTACCGTTCTGCTTAAACATGGTGATGAACAAAGCGGCTGGTTATTATTATTCATATTCATGTACACATACAAAAGGTTCGTTTGGGCCTGAAATTATTGTGGGTATTTCCACACTTCAGTTTAATTCATACATTTTTAATCTCGTAAATTCTACTAGCATATAAATACAATTTTGGTCGACGCTCATGTTGTTTCGCATCTCCACTCATTTTAATTTAATGCTGACAAATTCACATTTCTGAAACTCCCGTTTTCCATCAATTGAAGGTAAATTATCAAAAAGTTGTTTTATAGTACTTATTTAAATGCTGCAATGTAATATATACTATAAACCTCAGATCTAATCAAATGAGGCAATTCGCAATGATACCGTGGGCCTTGGTTGGTATATCACTCACAACTTAATTTTGTTGTATCATTAGGGCCTATAATACAGTACGGTAATTTATTTGTTTGATGTTTCATATTGTAGATAAGAATAGTTAGTTTACATCATTACGTATCCAGAGGGATATTACCGGCCAGCCATTTCCTGTCAGTATTTCTGGAGTTCTTTTCGTAGATAATTGTGTATAGTTTGTTTATAGGCCTGTTAAAATATGCAAATTGCAGACTTTTCTAGATTGACTAGTATAGAACATGGTGAGAAGACTCATAGGTGCGATTTTTAATTATTATTGATTTTTTAACAAAATCGTTATTATAATAATTGTTTGTTAATGCTGATCCAATTCAAGACCACCTTCGGGACCCGGAATTGTAAGGAGGTCTTGAATTTCGGTATCCAATTAGAGTTTTAGCTTTGTCGGCTTTGTGTTAAAAATTGGAGGTTGTTAACGGTACTTTGAAAAAGTGGTCTCGAATCAAAGGGATCTCGAATTCGAGGGATAACCGTAACAACAATAGCAATTACTGCTACCACTAGCCCTTTTTATTTACTTCTGTAATATTAATATTTATATTTTTAAATGTATATTGACAATTTATTTATTTATTCGAAAGTGTTCTCCGTTTTGGTCTATTCCGATTCCTAAGCAAAATTTTTAGTCATTCAATCAATAAACAAATTGTAGCATCGATATCCGCAACAGAATGCAGTGTTCAGCACATGGCGCTATAACATTGGCATTAGACCTAATCAAGGTGATCTTAATTACACTAAGGTGAATTAACATTCATAATATTAATAATACTAAGCTAAAAAAGTATAAACAACATTACTATTTACATTTGTGGGTGTGTGTGTGTGTGTGTGTGTGAGGGTGTGGGTGTGTATGTGGATGCGTGACGGTGCGTGTTGTGTGTGTGTGTGTCAAAAATTAGTGGGAGATGGATAGAGATTAGATTTAAACTTTTAAAAGATATTGACAGAAAATGAGATAAGGGATGGTAGGGTATTCCGTAACGTTGGGGCGGCCATATGGTGCAACTTTACTTTGGTTTTTTAGAATGCGTTAGATCCGGGTTCTGACTTTCTGTCCGCATTTTACCATAATACCGAATAACACAGCAGAAAGTGATGACACTTTCACCCTGCTGTGTAAAACTGGTTTAAATTTTAAAAAATAGGCCTAAATGAGTCTACGAAGCTCTGAACGGTTTTGTTAAACAGTTTTTCCTATATACATCAATGGTGATTGTTTTATTATATTTTATCTAGGTTACGATCAAAGACGATTAAAACGTAGTGATCACAATCAGTAACCAGAGATAGGCCTATAAAGCTTGTTTCTTTGGATCACGTGGTAGGCATAATATTATAGGTACTAAAGCACACGCAAAGATGGCTTCTGAACTAAAAGCTGGTGACCTGCTTAAGGTGAAAAGAAACGGAGTTCCCTACTGGCATTTTGGTAGGAATTGTTATATAAAACTAACATTTAAATAATAACAATAATAATTACAATATAAATAATAATAATAATAATAATAATAATAATAATAATAATAATAATAATAATAAATTATAATTAAATTATTATTGATATTATATTTTGGTATTATTGTTACTTAAATGTTAGTTATGCAATTTATTGTCACGTTTGTCACGTATAAAACTGATATTATTTTATTTTTGTTTTATATTTTTGTAATATGTACATATAATTTGATGTATTATTTTAATTTATTACAACTTAAAATCTGTTAAAACTGCATTTTTTAATTTGGAATACGTTTTCAGGCAAATACACGAACCTATCATGCTGCCATGGACCGCGCACGTATGCGGAAAGCCGTTTTATCATTTTCTTCTGAATTACAGTTAAGTGCAATGTATTGTACTTAAGTGCAGTACATTCCAATTAACTGTAATGCATTAACTTAAGTGCATTTAATTATACTTAAATGCAATTCAATTACACTGATATTTAATTAAATTGCAGTTAAGTCTGATTTAAATTTTCATTTTTTACGCCGCGTGGTGGTTGTCAGCGAGTGTGTTCTTCGATCTGAGCAAGGTAATTCAACAAAAGGACGCACATCTCGGGACATCAAAGGTTATAACTCTGGCATCGACATTCTAGGCGCACGTGCGTCCCTACACGCTGAACGTCACAAAAACCATAGCAATCAGATCATAAACCGTCAAGCCTGGTTCTCACGAGAGCCCTAGTATCCGGATCGGGAGCTAACCGTTAGCGCTAACCGTTAGCACCTGCGTGAGAACGCCCGATCGGTTATTGCTAACCGTTAGCGGTATCCGGATACGCTAACGGTTAGCAAGCGCTATCGGTTAGCAAGTTGAGGGCGTTTCTATCATTAACCAATCACAAGTACGCGTTTACAATTTCTAGTTTCTTATTGGCCAGTGATTCGATCATCATATTGGTGGTATCCGGATCGGGATTTTCTCGCATGGACGCACGGCAGCTTACGGTTAGCAGGATCCTGATCCTGCTAACCGTTGGCTGCCGTGTGAGAACATAGCCTCAGTGTACGTGACGATTTACCCACGCGCGTGTTAGTTGCCATGTTAGTCGCGCGTCGTGCGGTTGTTACAAAGGCCTAATGATATTTTGCATTAACATTAGACTGAAATATATTCTTCATTTCAACATTAATTTTACCAAAATTGTGGTGAATTGTCGTTCATGAGACTCACTTCGCAGAAAAAATTAATAAAATCTAGATGTGTATAAGAGACAGACTGATGATAGATCTGAGAATGAACATTGTCAAAATGACAGATTAATGTTACATAAGAACATGAAATTTTATAAAATTCGTAAATTTTGAATTGCTATAACTTTTCATTTTCTTGGTCAATTTTCACAAATCAAATTGCAGTTTATAGAAGCATTTAACAAGCGGTAAAAAAAATCAAATGTAACAGACATTGCGAAGTACCCAAAATTAATAAAATAAAAACTAACACCATAAAACGAATGGCACGGATAGACTAATAATTGACGGCTGTACTCGCAACTAGTATCGGATTGTCGATGCCACAGTAAAGATCAAAGGACTGTACGCACGCGCTATGTTCTGATTGATCTAGTCGATAATATGCATTAGCATGTTAAGCTTTCGAAATGTTTACCGACATTTATCAAAATTGATAAACTAAAGAATACATCAGATACCGTAAAAAGAAAACCTGTAGAATACTCACAGATAGTATAAACATATTTTTTTTAAAGTATAGGCAATATTAAGTTTAGGCGTTAGAAGTTGGTCTTTATGTTTGAGACTTGGTAAGTCTGCAGAAAGGACATATTAATATATTATTAATTTATTGCTGTTATCTTTAATTATTACTGTTATTTTGCACATTCTTTGGTACGAGGTATTGCTTCTTTTAATTGTTTGTTATTCATGTCGTCATTGTCATTATCGTTGTCATTGTTATCACCATTATCAATATCTTCATCAGCATAAGCATCATCGTCATCATCATCATTAGCTTATTATTTAGATTAATTTAGTTTTTTCTTACTTATAGGTGTTTATGTTGGTCAAGATAAAGTCATTCACCTCTCTGCACCGGGATACGCCGAAAAAAGTAAAGCTTCAGCTTACGTTCATCGAGTGTCCCTTAAGCAGTTCAAATATGACTCTGACAAGTTTGAAATTATTCCATGTCCAAGAAACATCAGCCGTGAGGAAGTTGTAAGACGAGCAGAGAGTGCAGAAAATCGTCTTTTTAATAATAAACCATATGACCTTATCACCAACAACTGCGAGCATTTTGCACGTTGGTGCCACGGCGAGGCGGAGAGTAAGCAAGTACAAGATGTGGCCACATGGACGCTCATTGGCGGCGCAGCTGTTTTAGGAGTAGTAGGACTCGCTGCAGCCTTTCTTTCAGATGACAAACAGGAGGAAGATGAAAAGCCTCATTTCGTTTAATCATTTTTACTTCTTTAAAAATTGTCCAAATAAGTAATATTCTATAGATTTTCCTAGAAGGTCGAGTGCCCTGCTCTTATTACGTTTGCCTAAAGATGTTTTAGAACTTTCTGCGAGACTTCAGGAGTGGATGTTTTCTTAGTCGTGACGAAAGTCACTACCAGGCTCCTCAACAGATTCCATTGCTTGGCCACTTCTTGAGACAAAGCACAAACCATCCTACAAACCTAGCAATCAACCAACAACAGAAAATTCAGAGGACATTTGAGAGCTACCATAATTACAACTCTACATAACGACCTCAACATGCTCCGACTCGCCAACATTCAATAGCCAGCTCAACTAAAAATTAAAATTTAATGACATGGAGAAACCAGAACTGTAGCAGAAAACAGACCTATCTATATGGAAAAAGCTCATCAAGGAACTAAGCATATGACTTTTCGGCGACACGGCGATGATGATTATGATGATGATGATAATGACAAAACAGTCTGGTGCTGCCACATGATTCGAACCAAAGACCTTATAATCAGAAAACAAGCAGCTTAACCATTAAGTTATACCCCACTACATCCTTAGCATAAAGTAAATTAACAAAGACAGTGTATCCCTATTTTATAGCAAACACACATTAAAGCATTACACTTGGCTAACAACCCAGTGGTCTCCAAGTTAAACTTACATTTTTATTTTCTTTTACAGTGGCATCGTTCTAGATTGAGAAACGCCTTTTTGATATTTTGGATTAAGTATGTGATTACAAGTTTCAGGATAATAATAATAATAATAATAATAATAATAATAATAATAATAATAATAATAATAATAATAATGATAATAGTAATAATAATAATATCTCACGAGAGTAGAAACTTGCTTAAAAATCTTTACATAATCTGTCTTCGACAATACTGTATTTATTTAGTTTTTTTTTTTTCTTTCTCTTTTGTGTATTATGTCCTAATTTCCGAGTATATTATTTACACGAGCATTAAAACAAAGAAACGCTCCCACAAGGAGAGGTTCGAACCATACAAAACTAAAGCAAATACAGAATAATTACTGCATAAAAATATAAAACATACTATCAAATGAAAATTGCATTATACATCAAATGTGTTGAAACTTCATACCAAATACAGTGACCTGGACCGTATTGTAAATCATTACCTTGCTCGTTGGCGTTCTGATGTTCAAGTATATTTTAATATTTATTTGAGTGTAGTATAAGTGTGTTCATCGTACCATGGAGGAAGGAAATTTTAAATTTCCTTCCTCCATGGTCGTACATACCGGTTCTGGTGGGTATTGTCAGTGGAAACAAGAATTGCCATGTATCTATTTCGAATCAAATTGTATATGTATTTAGTATTATTTTGTAGACCTGTGTATGTAATTGCATACGGTATCAAATGTAGCTAATCCGAACCCTTGGTATAATTTTGAACAGAATATCCCTGCGCGTAAAACAGTTATCTAACTTATTGAAAAGATTGAGGTTTTGAAACTGGTGATTCAATTATAGTAACGTCACACAGCTGGAATCTAAATACATGACCGTCCACACGTTTATCTATATAGTTATCATCTGTAGCCTACTGTGTAAACTCTAACATTGCAAAACTACTAGGCCTATAAAGACACGGCTAGCGAATGCGAAAGTGGGCCTACGTACATAATTATCAACCCATGTGGTGAAAAACGACGGTAAAAGTAATTGTTTTTCCCTCAATTGATCTGAAATATGGATTGACACTTACTTCGGGAGATCAAAACTTTGATGCTCTTGCTGTTACAGTTGTTCAAACCGGTAGGTTTCGAATCCCTAGATGATTATTGAGGTCCTCGGTTATTGTGATCTTAAGCTTTGAAATAATCGTAATTATAATATAGGCATCTGTCATGATTCGTGTTCAGATATGCTGCTACGAACTATTGTTACATTTAGTATTTGTATGCCATTTTGTAATTTTTTTCTGTTGAAATATAGAGGACGGCAGTGTAGAAAGAATTGTTCTTGTGGCAGTTTAGTATCAATTGAATTAACGTATATTAAATTAACGTATTTTTGTTGTTGTTAATAGACGAGTGCCACTGTAAGGAAACTGTACGTTCTAACAAATGAATAAATGCATAGATAAGTGTTTATTTGTGGACATCTTTCGACGTCCTAGTAGACTAATTTGAAGGCATTTTATCATGTTAATCTCTATATGTCCGTGAACATAGCGAGTGCCTATCAAAATAATAGCAAAGTTTGATATAAAGAGTGGATTAAAAGCGACTGTAAATGAGCTGATTCAAACAACTAGAGTCATTTGAAACAAATTAATCAACATTTTCATTCTTGGCATCGACAGAAACATATACAGACGTATAAGCATAATTTTACTGTATGTATACGCTATCTATCCATTGAGCCCGTGACGGGGTATCTGTATAAAAGGATCATCATGATGAGTATACTCGTCTCAGGGTATTTCTGAGAGCGCTAGCCTGGAACGATTATACTTGTCTAAAACGGGGTGTCATTCTAGCATTTTGACTTCATTGCTATACACTGACATACCGGCTGGTAGTTAGGGGAGGATACACCAATGTGTATGTTATGTTGCTGGCAGTACAAAAGATTGCGCGTGTGGAGTCAACGCTCTAGTATTCTTATTTTAACTCATTTTGTACATTCATACAATCTTTTAAGATTAAAAGTATTAAAATACTGTACTGTTATGTGATTCATTTTATAATGATTCTTTTTTTGGTTATAACAAGGAGGTTTTATTTTAACCTCCTTGGTTATAATTAGTGGACGTTTTTCGATTTGGGGGCGGGGAGGTGCGTACGCACCCAACGCACCCCCCCCCCCCGGGATACGACGATAAATCTCCCAGCAACGGTAATATTACAGTATTTTAATCATTGTATATATAGCGAGATTCGTAAGATTTGATGTTATGTACCGTATAGTACATAGCGCTCTGATCGATACATTACTTTTGTACGTTCGGTAGAGCCCCATGACGCTGCAAGTAATATGAAAGGAGGTGCTAGGTTTTAACAATATAATATAGGCCTAACTTAACTAAGTTGTGATTACCGTGAAAACGGTTTCAGCCTATCCGGCCCTTCTCAGTTCAGGTAATAGAACTCTTGAAAACGCAAGGTAATCACAACTTTAAGTTATATTATAAGTTAGTAAACCCAGTACCTACTTTCATATTACTTGCATTGTGATGGGGCTGTACCGAACGTACAACAACTAATGTATATATAGCAGTTCGAGATATGTATTCCGTTTATATTGTTACTTTTAACATAGTAGTTCATTTTTATTTAAATGGAAAATGAACATACATATTTCATATTTTCGCTCTTTTATGGCATACAAGATACAAGATTCTTTTATTGTTACTGGTACATAAAATACAAGTAAAATTCGTCTTCCCGATGCAAAAATAAAATTGCATGATTGCAGTACAGCCCTCAATAAAATAAATCAGATTGCCTCTAAATAGCTACGAGGTCTAGATTATCGAGACCTTCGTCTTCGATGGCCTCTAGTAGCTAACCTAACCTAAACTTCTCTTCCACTCTGGATTTCACACCCCAAGAATAAACGATCGAAGTCCCCTTCACCGAAAAGCCTCGAGAAAAAAAAAAAAATATACGCTACAATTCATTGGAATATACAGTAATAATAATTACATTGGACCACTGGACTCGTGACTGAGCTACTGATAAGTGATAAGGCATAATGCAGATGCATCATAGTCATGTTTAATCATTAATAGGCTATGCGAACAAAATGATTTTCCTGTGGGATTTTTTCACATACTGCCCACGTAGACGGTAGAGTGTAGCCTAAATAGCATATGGTGAGTGGTCATTTTGCTTTGCAGCACTACGACTTCCCTTCTGATGCTAAAAATTCATAAATCTGAAATTCACATTTTATTGTAAGGTAAGGTGGAAAATATTTTATTTTTAATCAAACCGTGGCTTACCAGTTTACCATATTCATTTTAGAAGCGTATGCGGTCAAAGTATTTTCTTGTGGGTTTTCCACACTCATGTTTTTGGTATCGACGCTGAGGTCACTGGAATCTATATAGCTTAAATAATGGTAGGCCTAATGGTCATTTTGTTTCGCAGATCTCTGTTAAGCAAGGGTGGCGCCAGCAGGAGGGCACCCCTCCCCCCCCCCCGATGTGTATAAGAGACCAGGCCTGGACCCCCGTCGTCCAACGTCACGACGAGGTCGCCGGACCAAAATTAATAATTTGGCTATCTAAAAACCGTTATTTTGATTGCCCATGTCTAATAATATGGTGCATGGTCTCAAACCACAATTTGGGCAATAAGCCATAAAAAAATCTTCAAGTGAACCCTATCATGGATATTTATTCCGGGACCCTGACAGTAAGTACAATACCTGAATTTCACCTATATTATTTTTAGGAAGTCCCCACGACATCCATAACATGTCGTGCAAGGAACCTCAAGCAGGTGATCTGGTTATGGTCAAACGACACCCAATTCCATACCGTCACTATGGTAAGAATTTGATATTTATACTGTATTATTATTTTATTTAATTCTAAATATTAATAGCAGTAAGAATAATCATACTATTTAACACTACATTTCGGGTTTTTTTTTGCATCAATTGGTAGGAGTTTATGTTGGTTGTGATGAGGTAATTCATCTTTCCGCTCCATCGTGTGACATTGAAAATGTTCATACAGAATGACTCTGATGATGATGACTCTGATGAAGATTATTCTGACGATTTTAAAGTTGTCACATGTCCGTATGACGTAAAGCGTTCAGAAGTCGTCAGACGGGCGGAGAGTGCGGAAGATCGAAAATTTAGAAACCGCCCATATGATCTCATCTTTAATAACTGTGAGCATTTCGCTCGTTGGTGCCACGGAAAGGCTGAGAGTAAGCAAGTGCAGGATGTGGCCAAAGGAGTGGCCATTGGTGGTGCAGTTGTTGTAGGAGTCGGACTAATTGTTGGGCTTGCCGCAATTTTTTCAGGTGACAAGGAAAGGAAGGAAAGAGTACGGCCTTATTACATTTAGAAAATTAATCTTTTAATTTTTTAAAAGATTTAAATATTTCAACACTTTATAATAACATCAAATCGATTAACGGAAAACATATTATGCCCATTTTTTGGGGGGAAAATACCCTGGTTGAAAATCATTATACAAATAGATTGTATTTTGTAGAAGGTAAACGAACAGTTGCTAACCTTGGGAATTAAATTATTTTAAGAATTAAGTTATAATGGTGGCATTAAGTTTTTCCTAAATCGTGCGGAAGAGAGGTCAGAATTTTTGTTGCGGCCAGGGACCAACCAAGGGCTGCTAGGGCAGCTGAAATCAGGTGCGAAACCCCAATTTTTCCGAGACTTGTTAATTGAGTTATATTAAAATAATCTCTCAGTTGTGACTTGCAAAAAAAGTTAACTTGACCTTGTCCTACAAATAGGCCTATTCAATTGTAAATTTGTGCTGTATTTTTTTCTCTCTTTACGAAATTTTAAATAAATTCCGAATTAAATTAATCTATTGTTTATTAGTGTTGTTACTACTAATGCTATTTATTAATGTTGTTATTGTTTAAATTGCTGTAATTGTTGCAGGGTGTATTGTTGTTAATGGTTTTACCCAAGTAATTATGATTTGATGTACGTGTACGTTTTTTGTGTATACGAAATTTGAAATATCGAATTAGAATCATTGTGTTATCATTGTTATTGTTATTATTTGTTTATGGTTATTGATAATGATGATGATGATAATGATGGTAATGCTGACGACAACGTCGACTAAGATGACGATGAGATGATAATGATGCCTGTGATGATAATGAAGAAGATGATGGTAAAGATGATGATAATGATGATGATGATGATGATAATGACGATGATACAGCTCTTTTTGGGTTAGGACTCGTTGCAGCAGCTTCACATGACAAACAGACAGAAAATGAAGAGCCTCATTACATTTAATAATCTTTACTTCTTCATAAAAATGTCTAAAGTAATATTCTTTTTTTATAGAAAAAAAACCGCCTATAGGCCTATGCATTATATCTTTCTAGGCTTTCCTAAAAGGTCAGCTGCCCTCTTATTAAGTAATAAGATGAGGCTTAAAGAGTGGAGATGTTTTTTTAGTCGGGAAAAAAGTCACTGCCAGGCCCGTCTCATTAGAAATCTTCGAATCGAGATGTCGATTACTTGGCCACATCTTGAGAGAAAGCACAAACAACCTACAAACTTAGAAATCAACTTTACTATATCCAGACCAACAACAGACAATTCAGAGTACTGTACATCCGAGAGCTACAATAGGCCTACCATAATTGCAACTCTACATAACGCCCTGAACAGGTCCACATTCAATATCAACTCAACTACAAAAAAACAAAATATGTATATTTCTTCTTAATTATATAAATTTAAAGCATTTAAAAATCCCATATACAGTACTATACTATTTACATTCACCAATAAAATATTATTTTTATTTAATCTATTTGTTTAAATTTTTTTTCGCACTCCTTTAAAAATTAAGATTGTGAAACAAGATATAGAAAAATGTCTCATCTAGGTTGCATGTTGCATGCTAAGTACGCATTCCTGCGATGAGGAGCGATGTGTATGTAGTCTTGTTCTTATCCCCGATAACTTTTGGGGAAGATGTGGTTGTGGTAACGTTTATGCAATGCAGTTTTAAACTTTAATTTGAAGGCTAACACTAATGTACTAACAAATAAATATAGGCCTAGTGTATATACATACAACCTAATTTAAAAGTCCAATTTCAATAATTTTCAAATAATTTTATTATACTGACTGTAATCTGTACTGTACAACGAAACAGTGTCTGGATTTTCGAGACCAATAATTCGTTTTGATTAAACTGTGTATAATGTTTTGAAGAAGGTGTGGGGGGTGTGGTGTGGTGGTGGCAATATCTTACATAACACCACCACTATCACCGGCAGACACATTGATCATGAAAACCGTTCATGAAAATCAGGGTTGGCGCCAGTGGGGGAACCGGGAGAGGGAATGGGGAGGACCCCCAGCGGGGAAAGCTGCCATCGGGGAGAAAATATGCCTATATATATGTATTTTCTACATATTAGTAGAACCTACACCTACACAATCGATTAAATACGGTAAACCTTTGAAAACCTAAATTGTCACGTTTTTTTGTGTTTTTTTTTTTTTTGCCTCTGGATCACTATTAAAACATTTTCAGCGACGCCTGACAACGCCAACTTTTCTCGTCATGGACATCGGCCCCACGTCAGTGAGCTTGGAACCCAGTCGGGGACCTCGGACCCCCGTCGAGAAAATCATGGCACCACACCTATAATAAAATAATTACGTACTTGACTTAGCTACCGTTCTGACAAACATGGGGATGAACAAAAGCGGCTGGACCCTAATGTTTACATAATATACAGTGTACAGAACCTTTTGTTTGTACTGTATGTAATGTTTTCATACAGTACAAACAAAAGAGTCGTTCGGGTCTGAAATTCTTGTGGGTATTTCGACATTTCAGTTCAACTCATTGATACTGTTGTATATTCTACTAGCATAATACAATTTTAATCGACGCTCATTTTGTTTCGCATTTCCACTCATATTAAATTAATGCTGTCAAATTCACAACTCACGTTTCCGTCAATAGAAGGTAAATTGTCAAAAATTTGTTATAGGCCCCTAGGTTGAATCACATAAGGCAATTCCCAATGATGCCTAGGTATACCAATCACAGCTTGTTATATTATCCGATGTGGTATCATTATTATAGAGTAGTTTATTTTGTTTCATGTTTCATATTGTAGACTAGAATAGTTGCTTTAAGGTATCCCAGAGGGTAGGCCTACCGACCATTCTCTGTCAGACGTGGTATATTTCTAGAGTCTTTTTTTTCTTAGATTTGTTCATAGTTTGCTCGTTTTGTAGGCCTGTTAATATGCAGTCTTCGCTTGATCGAAGTAGAGGACATGGGGGAAATTTGCCTCCAAAATTACAGGCGCGATTTTTAACAATTATTGATTTTTTAAACAAAATTATTATAATTATTTTTTAATGCTGACTAAAATACATGTCTCCCGCTAATTCAAGACCACCTTTAGGACCTGTAATTGTAAGATGTTCTTGAGGTTTGGTGTCCAATTGGTTAGCTTTGTCGGCTTTGTGTTAAAAAATGAAGATTGTTAACGGTACTTTGAAAAAGTGGGCTTGAATCAAAGGGATGTCGAATTCGAGGGCTAACTGTATGACCACTATCCCTCTTTTAGTACAGTTTTGTATTATTATTATTATATTTTTGTATTATGTAGATTGATAATGTATTTTATTTATTCGAAAGTGTTTCCCCCTTTTTTTAGTCTATTCTACTTCTTAACCTTAGCAAAATATTTTTTTGGATTTTTAAAAAATTAATATAAATAATTAATAATTAATATTTTTAAATTAATAGTAGATATTGTTTGTATTATCTCAATAATGTTTTACTTTGAATACCAATGCACCAGCAAACAGCACAAGGGTGATATTTGGCTCAGCAAAATACAAAATGAAAAAAAAAATATCCTCCCTCATTACTTTTCCAGCCTACATAGCGTGATAAACTAATAATATTTTTATAGGGCCTTATATGGGGGTTGTGACATTTGTTCATATAATACCATATAACGCAGCAGAAAATGATGACACTTTCCCCCTGATGTGTGAAACTGGGGTGGAAATATTATAAATAATAGGCCTAACGATTATAATGGGCCTACGTATAGTCCGCGTTTTGTTAGTTACGGTAAATTGTGTTTTTCTATATTCATCATTGCTGTTTTCTGTTATTATGTTTTATTTAGGTTACGATCAAAGACGAATAGACAATTAAAACCAGTGATGACAATCAGAAACCTGGAGTTACGAAGCTCGTTTCTTTGGGTCACGTGGTAGTCCCAGTAATAAGCTGCTTTTGTCTGACGTGTTTCCATTGTACATGTAACAGCTCTATACAAGGAAGTTAATGGCTCAGTGATATGCTAACTTGCCTATTGGCCTATTCATACTACTACGTACAAGATATATCACTCTGTTGCTATATCAGTTTGGGTTTGGATATTTGGCTGATCATAGGCCTACCTGAGTATCATATCACCATGACCACGTACCCCTTGATAAAGGCTGTAGAGGAAAGTGATTGGAATAATGCGTGTACTACTAATGTTAAACTACAACATTACATATCCATTTTGCGACCTATTGTAGGCGACGCCTTTGAAGAACAAAAGTCAGTGCTACATGCTGCAGCATCTATCGGTGATAATATCAACTCGACGTTTGGCAAGGGAGAAACCCTGCTTCACTGGGCAGCATCACGAACGTTTGACAGCTTTAACAGCTCAATAACCGGATTATGTATTCTATTGCATCTCGGGGCTGATCCAAACGCCCGTGACAGACTGGGACGGACTCCTCTACACTGGGTTACTACTTACTGGAACACGTCTTTAGGGAAAGAATCAAGTATACCTAAAGATCTGCTGTTATTTGGCGCTTCCCCCGATATCCCAGACATGTATGGGGTGACTCCATTGTATCTTGCACGTTGGGCCAATGCCGAGGAACTGGTGCAAATGTTGGAACCAGTGACTGATCTATCTTTGAACAACTGGCCGAATTTTGTCCATAAGAGAATATCTTTTGAACGCGATATTAGAAGATCAAAGATAGCGAACTGGATGCAAGATCAAGCAGGAGACAGGACAAAGAACAGAGAACGCATCTGTCAGTTCATGTGTACACCTGGCATGGGGATCATCGAACACAACCAAGAAGCACAACAACAAAATCATCAAATATTCTCTCTTCTCAATAGGTTCGTAATTTAACTAAATACCATATGTCACTAATAATAGGCCTAATAATAATAATAATAATAATAGATGAATTTATATACTAGTTTTTAGATGCGTCCAAGCATCTCTGCTTTGTCGGTCCGTCGTTCGGTTGGTCCTTATTAACATAGGCCTATTATTGTTCCAATTTATGTTAGACTTGTCTGTTTCAAATTTAGCTGGTAGTTTATCAGTGCAATGATGCAATGAAGTTTGATTTATATAGCGCTTTATACGGGAGTCTCAAAGCGCTCGAACTTAAGTGTGGACTAGCTCGACGTACAGTAACTTCCTTCTCCCCTAAGTGTCTCTTCACGTCTGAGCTACCCGGTGAACCGGTACCAGCTACTCTCGTCTGTCCACAACAGGGGGTGTATAGACCAGCACCCCGGAGTAACCCCTACTCGTTTCGAAAGATGTACTGCGTTCCTTTAAGTGCAGACGAGCCAAATTGTGTAAAATGGGCGTACGGTTTATAGTTCTTACTCGAGAAGACTTGTTCCACCACCATAACCAAGCGTGTTGTTCGAACCAGCGCCGATATTATATGACTGTAGGTTTCGACACCCCTGCACTAACCCTCGGCCATCCAACAGTGATGCCGATTGGTCATCCCATCAGTCTGTTGGTTGGTCGGTCGGTCCGTCTATCGGTCGGTCCCCATTACGTTTAACATTTTTTTAAATTCATGTTAGTCCTATTAGTGATGTTGGTCGGTGGTTCCATTTGGTCAGTTGGTTGGTCCGTCCGTTGGTCGATCCCCATTACGTTGAACATGCTATTTGTTTTCAATTTCTATTAGCGTGGTTTTAAATTTAGAAAATAAACATCAGTAATCGGACGGTTGGTCGGTCGTCCCCTATTAAAATTACCATGTTATTTTTTTCCAAATTCTGTTAGTCTATTTCCAAATAGCAAGTTGTTCTTCAGTGATGGCGGTCGGTCATGGCATCAGTCGATTGGCCGGTCCCCATTCAGTTTAACTATTTTGGTATTGTGGCTAAATATATAAATATCAATGAATAAAACTTTTAATTTAACTGCATGACCCACTAAAATTCCTGAATGTTCCTTCCAATGAATCGATATACCATCCTCCAAGACACTTTCTAACTTCTGTTGTTATATTAAGAATTTCAGATGAGATCTGCAGAGAAAATCCTGTGTTTGAGTTCCGTCCTTACCTTGCTGGCAGCACTGCAGAGGACACCAAACGAGGCTTTCCCGACGAGAAAGACATCATCATTCACCTAGAGAAATTCACTGAAAGAATTACACCTGAGCCGGACACTGACGATCCACATAAATTGGTGAAGCTTCGATTAGCCGAAGACGCCCCAGCAATTCCTGAAAAATATATCCGTCATGGATTTTTGAACCGAACAGCAATCCTTAGAGATTTTATAGCTCTATTTCAAAGAGCAATGTTGTTAGTTGAACTGTGGAATAGTGACGAACTGACGAATATTTTCCCAGGAGAATCTGCGTCGTGTCGTGGCGCGTTTGATGTCATTCATATGGCAGCAGATGAGGGAGATATATGCACGTTTGATGTTGTATGGTGTGGGGAGCACTACAAGCAAATCACAGTATCTATGGACATTGTACCAGCCATAATGCTGACTGCTGGGACACTAAAGCAACCGATGAAGGGTACTTTGCCAGATATATACAATAATTACACACTGTGTGCAATTCTGAAATCTAAGGCAGATACTTTTGTTTATGTGGATGAGAGTGAAGAAACTGATAGGCCTATCGCAAAGAGCAGTGGTGATATTATGCCCGTAGAGAAGCATAGCACTTTTTATATGGAATCGCGTGTGGACGATATTGTTTTTAGCGACTCTGAAAACGACTCCGATATTGATTATCACATTCCAGATGAAGAAGGCATAGATATTACAAAAGAAGAGCTCAAAGAAATCGAGGAAGAAGTAAGAGAAGAAGGCAGATTGTACGTTAGAAAAGCAGTTGATATTGGAGAAAATTCTTTTTACATATCGTTCTGTGCGCTAGAAGTTACAGCAATGAAATCGCTGCCTGACAATTTACGCGTAGCCATGGTTCTCTCTAAAGCGTTGGTCGACTTTATTCCAGAAATTAGAACAGCTGCAAACAAAGGTGCGCACCCTGAACGGGACTTTTATGAAGGTCGTAAAGATATATCTAGTTACATGATCAAAATGGCGCTGCTTCATTCTCACAAAAAATATCTGTTTAGAGACCAACAGCCTGACTCAACTCAGACTGAAAATATTCCCGGTGTAGAAACGTATTTACAGCGATCTGTGTATCGGAATTGTTCGTATTGCCAATCAATGCAATGCCACACACAGGAGGCAACGGACGTCACAAATGTAGATACATCATCCCGGAAAGAACGTCCAAGAATTGGCGTTCCTGATGTGTCGCAGTTATGTATTTCACAAATGTGTACCAGTACATTGACTTCTGACATTCGGTGCACGTGCTGTGACAATCGTTGCACACTGGCAGATTTCTCATCCAGAGTTGAGGATATTTCATTGTGGGTAGAAAGAATATTCATAGAGTTAGAGGAAGCAGCAGAAAAACGACACCTGCCTGTTTTCTTTGACCCACAGAATAATGCCCTGGACAAGCTGATAACGTTATCAGAGCAGAAGGGCTTTCCTTACCCAGGTCTGAGTTACCTGAGAGTACACTGCAAGATGGTCAGGGCCTTAGTCCAAATTTAACTAAAGATATGTGAAAAAAGAGAGTTTAATTGAAAGAATCGTAATTTATTCTAATGTCAAACATTTGGTGGACAAAGTAACAATAATTCGGTAGACCACGTTTGCGGAGGTCGATGATAAAGTAATAAGAGTTCCAATTACATTCATCTATGTACACTATTTCTGAAAGTCTTTACCTAAAATTAGCATAACCTTTAGTGGTATTGACCCCTTATCTTGTTTCAACTTTTTTCAAAATTCTTCAATTCTCATTTCAGCCTTTGAAAATTACCGCACCGTAAGTCCCTGTAATATTTACTGCATATTTAAATATTCAAATAGTTTCATCTGGTATATAGTTTCATATAGCTCTTGTCGTTACTTTCTACACATGGTTTATAGAATGGCCCCGAAACTGCTAAATACCGGATGGTGTCCGGTGGGGGATACTTAACTAATTGTAGTTAAGAGTAATATACTGTATTTAAGTGTAGTTAAGCCTAGCTTAAGGTAGTTAGGGACGTCCTGGGTACGACATTAAACTCCATCCGGTCGAAGCGTCGGCGACTAAACTGAGCTGACAACCCTCTCAAATATGTGTTAGTGGTGAGGGTGCTGAGGGGAGGATGTTTGTGGTCACCCAGCAGCAAGAAAAACCAATACCGTAGCTGAACAAAGGGCGGATGAGCTCCTCGGAGTCAACGGCCAAACATTAATTAGTTTAAGGAACAGGAGTAGTTTAGTCTCATTGTTATTATTGCTATTATGATTATTTTAATTTTATTTTTTGTTATTATTTTATTGTTATTTGCTTTTTCTCAGTTGGCCTATATTATTTCTCTGTAAGGCGCATAGGGGCAATGTGCAATATGCGCTATATAAATATAACATTATTATTATTATTATTATTATTATTATTATTATTATTACACAATTTCAAGGTGGAGTAGGTCTATTATATATAATAGACCTACTCCTTCTTGAAATTGTGTAGAAAGCGACTACCGTCCAACACAGACGTTTAATTATGAAAAATAATTGAAGTTACCTTTGCTAACACCGACCATCGAGGCTAGTTTTGAGACTAAGCTGAAAGGAAAACTGCATGTCTCGAATTAAAGACCACTTTTAGGAACTTGGGTTTTTGAGGTTTTCGGTAGCTTTGGTCTCTAATTTACTAAATCTCTGATGTCCACTAAGACTGCACAGAAGTTGTGGTTAACTGAAGTGAGTCATTGAAAATATTAGACGGATCTTTAAAGACACTATACTGTATCTGCAAATTTTCTTTAAAACTGACTTTTTGTTGAAACTATGTATAGGCCCTATGCATTGCAAAAAAAAAATAAATAAATAACAAAGTCGCAAACACGGTAATCCCTGTCATAGATGTACGTTGTCGGTTTGTTTAAAAATATAAGGAATGTGGCTAAACAAATATTGCAATCACAAAGAATTCATAAAAAAATAATGGATACCGATTTAAAAATGAGTAAAATATTCTGTTCAAAATTGAATAATGGATCACTCACTATTAATTCAGTGTTAATATTGTATAGTGCAATTTTTTTTAACCGTTGTTGATTCAAGGCGATCCGGTAACCACCTAATTCCTTCGAATTTATCAACGGGTTATCATGATTCTTATGCAGACCGCACTAATTCTTCTATCTGTTACATTTAAACAATTATTTATAATCTGCATTGCGTCGCTTGTTTTTCCTAGGTTTAACCTTTGTGCATGGATATTATATATATATATATATATATATATATATATATATATATCGATATATATATATATATAATCAATATATATAAACCAAGACAGCCGTTAACACTGTTAAATTATATATATAAATCATCAAAGAAAGGTAAATACAGTGTTCGAATAAAGGACATAATAATACATCGTGTAGCATAGCTCTCAAGGAATGTAGTCCTGTAAATAATTGAATAAAGAACTTGTGTTATAAAATGCCTCTGGCGGGACCCGAACCTGCGACCTCTCGCTGCCAAGGCGAGCGTCATAACCATTAGACCACGGAGGCTTCATGGTTGAATAGATTCAAATACCACCAGATACACTCCATTACTCAATAAGTACGGCTAGATACAAATAGTTGCGTATGCTACCCGATGTATTATTACGTCCTTTATTCGAACACTGTATTTACTTTTCTTTGATGATATATATATATATATATGTGTGTGTGTGTGTGTGTGTGTGATGTGTATAAGAGACAGGGGGGTGTGTGTGTTCAATACGACCATTACTGATATTCATTTTCCATATAGTTTTCCGTTTTATTGAAATAAAGAACGTAGAAACAGAAATGCCAACTGATTATAAAGAATATGCTATGGTAATTAGTTAGTAGTGGTCTCTTTTGCTTATTATCTGAGATAGTCTATTGTTATCTAAGTTTGTTATCTAAGTTTGTTATCTTAGTAGAAACTTTCTTCTACTAAATTATGTTTTTGTACAGCCTTTGAAACCAATGAATTGTCAACATTTTCGGGGGGATTCGCACCCTGGACCACTTTCGAATTTTTTTGACCGACGCCCGCCACGCCCACTTTGCTCTCATCGGCGACATCGGATCCACCCCAAACGCGTCGGCCTTACCCCGTCTAAGTTTCCAAGTTCCACCCAGACCAAGACTTTCATGGAATGCAGTCGTGCAACACATAGGCCTAAGAGTTCCCATCAGCTAAACGTGAGGGGGACCAAGCCCCTTAAAAATATGTTGGGGGTTGGGGTGGGGGGGGGGGTTAGGAACGTGTCTCCAATGTCCCCATAGATCTGCACCCATGCAGTACAGTCCTCACTATAAAATGATTCAGTGATTTTGACGCTATAGCTACGAGGTCTTGATTCGTGGGACATTACACTAACCCACGTCGAGGCCCTGAACTAAACCCCTCCCCACTCTGGATACGGTCCTTGGTTGACGCTTCACGCCTAATTATCTTTTCCCCTACCCAACTTTTTTCTGTTGTCTTTCCTTGTGTTCTCTCCTATGAACCCTCACCTACGCCCTACACCACATTCTTGAGAATAGACCTATTTTGTGTTGACATAATTATAACAACGTGCACTTCTTTTAGAAGAAGTCCCTTCTATTAGATACCGGTACTCATTTTACATCCCAATAATATATAAATCGATGTCCCCCTCACAGAAAAAATCCTTTCTAAAATTATACACTCCCGTTCATTCGGGTATTTACCAAGACCTGTAACTCAGCTGTCGAGGTCTGTTGCCTAGTTTTACATTATTATTAGGCTATTCGAACAAAGGGTTTTTCTTTTGGGTTTTTCCACACATAGCGTAAATAAAATATGATGAATGTTCTTTGTTTTTCAACTCTACTAAGATTCATTTCCGATGCTGAAAAATTCACAATAAACTCGCTCACGTTATAAGGTACTGTATACAACAACGTTCTTATGGGTTTTCCCACAGTTACGTTTTGGATCAAAGGTCACAGCCGACAGCTTAATATAATACTGTATGATAATTATGATACAGATGGACTGTTTCTCAAATGAACTGCGCTTTGTTGTAGAACTGCTCTCTCTTTAGACACAATTCTGATGCTGAAAATGCACAAATTTTAAAATAATTTTACCGAATAAGGTAAGGTGGAAAACGTTCCATTCATTAAAAAAAATGTCTTTTCATATTCATGTTTTTACTAGGCTAGCATACAGAAGAATTTACTTTGGCTTTTTTTATACCCACATTTGGCTATGCATTGCGTATCAATGGTCATAGAGCTACAGCCTAATATGGTAATGTCGTTTTGTTCCGCAGCTCCAGCCTACTCACTTTTGATGCTAAAAATATCACACATCTAAAAATCACTTTTCCATATAAAAAAGTAACATGGGAAACATTTGTTTTTCTAGTTAAAGAGTCGGCTTTTCATTCTCGTTTACTATGTGGACAAAGAATTAAATGGGGTTCTCCACACCGTGCGTATATCGATGGTTCTGGTGATGGTTAGGAGTCGCAGTGGCATAACGTCTATGGGCACTAGAGGGTGAATTCCCAGCCCCCCCCCCCATCTCCGTTGGGGCTCCTCCTGCTAATATTCAGCAATATTTACTAAATAGCAGAGCCTTTACATTACGGTCCGGTAGGATACACCCACAACTTCCAAATCAAAACAATGTATTCCTGGTCTGGAATGTCCTGAAATTTTATTTATTTAAAAAAAAAAATTTTTATATATAAAAACCAATACAATTTTGCCTAGGCTCAGTGTTCTTATTCTTTTGCTGATTTCAGGAAATGTTTTTATTTTGTTATTATTTCCACACGTTTTTCAAACATAAAAAATATTATTGTACAGGAGTGTATTACTGTACTGTAGAGGATATTTGATAGTCACATACCAGCTAGCCAAGCGACGTTGGCCCAACGTTGGTAAACGTTGGCAAGCGTCGGTAAGCGTCTGGGTCGGATATCTGACGTTGGTACGACGTTGGTGTTTGGTTGCAAAATTCGTCAAACCAACATTGGAATTTCACGTTTGCCCAACGTATGAATATATTTGTCGATTTTCCGATGTCGTCCCAACGTTGGTAAGCCGTCGTAAATATTCAGTCTGACTACGAACGTTGGTACAACGTCACGATTTGTTACTGGCCCGGCGTCGGCAAACTACTAAAATGATGGTTGGGTACTACAGTTGACTCAACGTTGGCTAGAGGTTGTAAATATTAGGATGTGATAACAGACGTTGTCGCAACGTCAGAGTACTTTGTTGGCCCGACGTCGGTAAACGCTTGAAATGGTGGTTGGTTAAAAATTAAAACCGTTGGCCCGACGTTGGTTAGAGGTTGTAAATATTAGGATGTGATAACAGATGTTGTCGCATAAAATGGAGCTTTACACACTTCAAAAGACTGTCACAGAAATAATTTGCACTGTCTTATGCGCTTACAAAGATGAAAATTAGCATAATGTATTAATGTTGATAACAAAATTATTTTATCTGGTACCAATCTAAACT